AGCTGGGCACACTGCTGCATGCTGTGCACATGGCTGAGCTGGGCACACTGCTGCATGCTGTGCACATGGCTGAGCTGGGCACACTGCTGCATGCTGGACACATGGCTGAGCTGGGCACACTGCTGCATGCTGTGCACATGGCTGAGCTGGGTACACTGCTGCATGCTGTGCACATGGCTGAGCTGGGCACACTGCTGCATGCTGTGCACATGGCTGAGCTGGGCACACTGCTGCATGCTGGACACATGGCTGAGCTGGGCACACTGCTGCATGCTGGACACATGGCTGAGCTGGGCACACTGCTGCATGCTGGACACATGGCTGAGCTGGGCACACTGCTGCATGCTGTGCACATGGCTGAGCTGGGCACACTGCTGCATGCTGGACACATGGCTGAGCTGGGCACACTGCTGCATGCTGTGCACATGGCTGAGCTGGGCACACTGCTGCATGCTGTGCACATGGCTGAGCTGGGCACACTGCTGCATGCTGTGCACATGGCTGAGCTGGGCACACTGCTGCATGCTGGACACATGGCTGAGCGGGGCACACTGCTGCATACTGGGCACACAGCTGAGCTGGGCACACTGCTGCATGCTGGGCACGTGGCTGAGCTGGGCACACTGCTGATCTGGGCACACGGCTGAGCTGGACACATAGCTGAGCTGGGCACACTGCTGCATGCTGGGCACGTGACTGAGCTGGGCACACTGCTGATCTGGGCACACTGCTGAGCTGGGCACACAGCTGAGCTGGGCACACCGCTGAGCTGGGCACACTGCTGAGCTGGGCACACGGCTGAGCTGGCCAAGCAGTCAGACCAGCCCGTGCAGCGGAGGCGCACGTCGTCCGGCTCTGGAAGGCGACAGGTGCCGGGACAGAGGAGCCGCCCCTGGGTCTCTGAGGGCAGCATGACATCTGCAAGCAGGTCATATAAGAGGAGGTGAGCCGGAGACAGCCGGAGACCTCCACCGAGACCCGCCCAAAGAAGACACAGGGCTGGGTCTCCTGGGGCTCAGTCCCCTCCCCTTGTGCAGCTCTGGGCTCAGAGGACATGAAGGAAGCAAGAGGGCACTTGTCATTGTCGGGGCAGCACCATTAAGTTATCCTCCAAGGACGCTGAGGTCATTTGTACCATAATTGGCTCGTGTCAGTGTAAGGTCTGATGCTTTTCCTCCAGAGTCTTAGGGATAAGAATTTCCATGGACACCTGAGATCCGTGGTTTAAAATCAAAAGTAAAACCAGCCTCCTTGTCATCTTGCGTTGGGCTGCCCTTTCGGGTCAGGGCCAGTCCATTTGATACTGAATGACCAGGGTGGCCACACAGGGCATGGAAGGTCATGCTGCAAACTGGACACCTTGGTGCTGTGTGCTGCTCCCTGGGTCTGGGCCCGGGCCCTGGGTGCGTCTCTGAGAACCCAGGAAGGGTGGCAGCCAGGCCCTAGGGGGGTCTTTGACTTGGCATCGCAAAGACCAGCACAGTGACCTTCCTCTCAGCCTGCTCCTGGATGAGCTGTCCTGCTTCCTCGTGGGAGGCCACTGTCCTTGAAAACACCACAAGCCAGAAAGAATCTTGGGTCCAGAAGTGACCTCGATAGCCATCATCTGGCCCAAACCCCTTATTTAACAGACTGAAACCAACAAGCCCAAGGGGAAGGGTGATGCAGTTATGAATTAGAGGAAGCAGCCCAAGTGTCTGGGTCTGAACTGGAGGCATGAGGATGCACTCGTTATATACAGAGCTGGGTTCAGTCCGTGGGCCGTGGAGCCGTGACATCCCAGCGGCAATGAACGTACCTAGCACCCCTGTCTTGGTTTCTAACTACCATTTTCTGCTAAAGGGAATCAGGGCTGACTCCAGGGCTGGGGCATCTTGTTTTCCCAGGAAGTGACGTATGCCCCATGGTGATGGGGATACGTCAGGGGATACGTCCCTGCTGGGACGTCACTGGCCACCTGAGCATCAAAAGAAATAGTATAATAATGAATTCTAATACTTTGAATAAAAAGAGACTCAATGAGTCCATAGTGACCCTTGAAGGCATAGCTTCTGTACCAGAATAATACCAGGTAACAAGTGTTAGAGGGACGGTCGTTTGAGAAAAATCACCACCCACCGATATACTAATTGATTCAGGCCAGGGTCTACACTGATACTGAAACCACTGGGTGAGATGACGGAGGAACAGGAGATACTCACTCGTCTCAGAATATCAACCCCTGAATTGCTTACTAATCACAAAGAGTAAAATGGACTTTTACAAATGGGGGTCTGACAGGTGCCGACAAGGGGCTTGGCATCACCAGTAGTGGAATAACCAGACATCAGGCGCCCCCTGGTGGATACTAACGGAAGGACTCAATAATGTCAGATTTTTGCCCAAGGTGCCTAACTTGAATGTAAACGTTAGGAAAACAAAATCGAGTCGATTCAGATTATGAGATAGTCTACAAGGCAGCTGGGATGACGCGAAACCTTGCAATGCCTGAGTTGAATAAGACTGAGAAGACATGAGGGGACCCTTCTGGGTCAAAGAAAAGTTCACGATAACTAAATGCAATGTTGAGTTTTGGGTGAAGGCCATGGATGCCTACCAAATACTTGCAAATGATTCAGCAAATAATGCAAAAGTGTGTGTTTTTGTATGGGTGAGTAGAGAGAGGAAATTAAAAGTGGCAAGATATTAGCAATGAAAGAGTCTAGATGAAGGGTATATGGGTATTTATTGTGTCCCAGTTCGACTTTTCTGCAATTTAGACATTTTTCAAAATAAAATATTGTGTATGGGGCGGGGAGACAGCAATAGTGATTTGTCTTTTAAAAAAATCAATTGAGGCTAAAACTCTGTTGTCTTGACCCATCCGTCCGTCTTCATCCAGGCAAATGGAGAGAGAGACAGACAGACAGACAGAGACAGAGACAGAGTCCTTTATCCTTGGTTCAAGGACCAGAACTCTTGAGAGGATGTAAGAGACCCACCTAGACTTGCTAATTCTGAGATGAAGACAGGACACGCGTCGCCACCTAGTGGTCAGATAGGGGAGTCTGTCTACTGCCACCAATTTTGAAAGCAAGCTCATATCATTTTATGGGTGTTCCCCGCCCCCGCCCCATCGCAGTCAGCCTGGTAGTGACATTTTCCCATCTACAAAGCACTAATGTTTGTTTCTCTGGATTTTCTGATATGGATTTCCAGTTGCTTTGAAAGAAACAAAGCCCATTTCCAACCCTCGGAAACCTAACAGAGCCCCAAATTCTTGATAATCCAAAAGAAAAGAGACCAGCCCTGCTGAGTGTGTTGGGGCCTCTCACCATGACACATCAGCAAACCACGGGCCTTTCCGGCTCCCTCCCATGGAAATGAACAGAAGCCGGACAGATGAGAAAAGCAAAGGCAGCATCTTCAGAGGTTCTGTGACAAGGACATCAGCCAGTCAGAGGCAGGCAGAGGGGTGGGAACGGTTGGGGGGGGTGCGGGGAGGCTTGGGGTGCCTTGACTGGGGGCTGTTGATGGGGCAGCTGGCGGCAGCTCACTAAAGTCTGGCCCTACGCGATTGGTTAGGGGTAGTACGTCGCTTTCTCTGGTTGATCTAAGTTGGAAGCTCGGACAAAGACTAGAGAAGCTGTCGGTTATTAACCAAATATTGTTACAAAAGTTACTGTTTAGCTTCCTGGATCGTCACTGTTATTGGTGGTGAGCTCTCCTTATCCCCACCGGTTGCTCATGGCAGTGGGCTTCTTGTGATATCCCGAGAAAAGGAGATTTCTGAGACTCACACGGGAGGATGGAATACTGTAGAAGCTTTATTCCTGTGGAATGATACCCCTGGGTTTCCCTGGTCCCATTTACCTTTGTTGAACCAGGGCAGAAGTATAGCTGTGGCTTCAATAAGGCTAAATTAGAAGTTCCGCGCTAGGGCATAGTCCGCTCCAGCCTCAGGCTGGCTTAGTTTGTGTTCCCCGCTGCAGCCCACCAGACTATTGCATGTGGGGTCCACAGGGCCACGTGGCTCTGGGGGAGACATGGGCAAATGCAAGGAAGCGGGAACCCGAGAGCCCTGCCAGCCGAGAGAGTGGGCTCCTTTGTTTAGGGGATTGTGTAATGTCACGTTTTCGCAGGCTTGCAGTGGCCCTGTCCATTCTGGCCAATGATCTCTGTCCCCAGGTTTGATTGACAGGCACCTTCCCAAGTCACCTCAACTTCACTAGGCATGCGTCTATCTCCCCTTTGTTGGACCCCTTCCCCCAGTGATCTTCGGGGAATGTGCCGGTGGTTCCCCGGAGAGTGCAAAGTTGCAGCTTCCTGGTGAAGCTGCCCAAACGGCCATGTTTATGATGCCCGCCTCCCCCCTTTGTTCCTTTCCCACAATGAGTAACTAGCTGGTTACAAAGGTGTCCTCGCCGGAGATAGTAATCTGGTCTCCTGCCAGTCGGGGTTATTAACAGACTGGCTTCCTGGGCTAGTTATAATAGGTAAGGAAGTTGGTTTCCTGGGCAGGTTGTTGGGGGGGCGGGGCAGCCAAAGCCCCGTTTTTATAGATGGTTTGGCCGTTGTCCTTTTGTGCATTTAGTCTGGAAGCAGTACCCAGGGTGCTCTGGGACAGCAGCAACTCTAATCACAGCGAAGGGCCCTGAGGAGAGGTCAGAGGCCCAGGCTTGGTCCTCGGCCTTCTCCGTCTGGGAAGGCTCCCCCAGCCCAGGTGGGCCTCCTCTGGGTACAGCAGGGGCCACTCCAACTTCACTTTCTATCTCTGGGCGGTGGTGACATTAGACTCACGTGCTCCCTCTAGAGGCTGGAGAGGGAGTAGCTGGAACTGTGCAGAGCTGACCTGCCGGATAGGAATAGGTACCTACCTGCTCGATACCGGCCCCAAGATGTGGTCCCGGCCTCTGGGACTCCAGCTGGCTCACACTTGCGTAAATCGTTGCTTTATCTCAGGCTGACACGGGCCCTGGACTGTCCACTCACGGGTGCTCTTCCCCTGTCTCCAACCCCAGCCTCTTCATGTGAAATGGTCCCACCTCAAGCTGCCCTGGGTGGACATCGACTGGCTCATAGACATCTCCTGCCAGATCACCGAGATGGACCTTTCCGCCAACTGCCTGTCCTCCCTCCCGTCGGTCATCCCCTGGGGGCTCATCAACCTGCGGAAGCTGAACCTCTCGGACAACCACCTGTGCGAACTGCCCGGGGTGCAGTCCTCAGACGAAATCATCTGTTCCAGGTGGGCCTCCCCCGTCACAGGCGCTCGGGGTGTGAGGGGGGCCTCTGCACCCCGACTGCCGCACCCGCCTCCCATTCGCGGGCTCCCCGAGCGTAGCCTGTGGTTTTGAAAACAAATTTTCAGCTGAAATGACAGAAGGAAACTGCTTGCCCTAATGCAGGCTCTCTCTCAGGACCAAGGTCCCACCCAGCAGGTGGTCGCAGAGAGGGGAGAATTGAGTGTCCCCCTGCCCCCCACTTACACTGCTCAGTGGCGGCCTTGCAGACCTGTTTGCCCCCAGACGCCCAGTCTTGGTCCTTCACTCAGGAGTCAGGAAAGGGGGCTGGTGGGAGCAGCGGGGCCCAGAGCTCCGGCTTTTACCCCGCCTCCGGGAAAGTGGGAGGGGCCTCAGCGGAGAGGTGAACTGCGCAGGATTCTGCAGCGCGAGCCCAGGGGAGGCTCAGTCTCCTGCTGCTGGAGGCGCTGGGAAGAGGCTTGAGCCCTCCACCCCAGGCTGCTTGTAAGGGGAAGGACCTCGCCTTCGGCCATGCGCTGGCCACACCTCCCTGCAAGGCCTCGTTCTTGCAAGGAGTCCAGCGGATCTCAAAAGCCAAGGCTCTAACTGAAGTAGGAGAGAGAATGTTGGAAGGAGCTTAGGATCCTCTGTAACCAGTGCAGGGAAAACCTGCACACAAAAACCTGAAGAACGATGCCCTGGCTGGTGTGGCTCAGTGGCTGAGCATCCACCCATGCACCAGGAGGTTGCTGGTTCGATTCCCGGTCAGGGCACATGCCCAGGTTGTGGGCCCGATCCCCAGTAGGGGGCATGGAGGAGGCAGCCAATCGATGTTCTCGCTCATCGATGTTTCTGTCTCTCCCTCCCCCTTCCTCTCTCTCTAAAATCAATAAAGAAGGACAATGTTTTAAGTATATCACTACATAAGCGCACCTCCATGTCGACAGAAATAACTGCAGAGCTGGCCTCTTCCTTCGGAGACCTTGACCTTCTTCTTCCCCACCCACAGGCTCCTGGAAATTGACATTTCCAGCAACAAGTTATCCCACCTGCCCCCAGGATTCTTGCACCTCTCCAAGCTCCAGAAACTGATCGCCTCGAAAAACTATTTAGAAAAGCTGTTTGAAGAAGAAAGCGGTATGTTCTGCCGTCAGTAACCTGACTTGGTTCGTCATTTTCTTCTCGATGGATCGGGATGGGTTTACCAATTCACCCTTTCCCCCTCCCCGCCCTCCAGCCACGAACTGGATTGGTTTGCGGAAGCTACAGGAACTGGATATTTCTGACAATAGATTGACCGAGCTCCCTGCGATTTTCCTTCATTCTTTCAAGTCACTGAATTTTCTGAACGTCTCCAGAAATAAACTGAAGGTGTTCCCAGATGCCTGGGCCTGCCCTTTGGTTAGTATCGGGGCAGGGATCGCGGAGGGCCCCGTGCACGGTCTCTCTGCCCCTCACTGGCCTGCACGTAAGACCCACAGACATACGCATGGTTACAGCTTCCACATCTGGTCAGGGTGACTTCCGCCCAGGAGGGGGGACTCAGTTCCTTTCAGACGGCTCCCCTCACACTGCCAATGAAAGGGGGTGGGTGGGTTGGTTTGTTTCATGGGAAGTTTGCTCATTAAAATAGAAGGAACCGCAGACAGGGCATGTTCTTGCTGCTGGTTGTAAATCAGGAAATTCTCCATCAGCAACATCAGCATTTCCGGTTGAAACATGTGTGCGTGGGAACCTGCTCCTCTCCAGAGGGCCGGCCAGATGTTCTGGAGTGGAGGCGAAGGGCGGTGGGCCACCTCTGTCTCCCTGGGGACCCTTTCCATCCCTTCCTTGGTGCAGGGACAAGAAACCGGGGCCACCACAGTCTGTAGCCTCTTAATTAACTGAATCCTGTTTATTACAGAGCTCTGGTGTAAAGACCTTACTTTTAAATCAAATTTGGAACGTTTTCCTCCTAGGCACAGCTGCATTTAAAAAGCTAATTCTGCTCTGGCCGGTGCCGCTCAGTTGGTTGGGCATCGTCCTGTGCACCGTCAAGTTGCCAGTTGGATGCCCAGTCAGGGCACGTGCCAGGGTTGCAGACTTGATCGCCAGTAGGGGGCGTGCAGGAGGCAGCGATGGATGTTTTGCTCTCATCCATGTTTCTGTCTCTCCCTCTCCCTTCCTCTAGCTCTAACATCGATTTAAAATTATTTAAATTAAAGTAAAACGAAAAGCTAATTCCTATCCCATTCTCCTTCTGGGCAAACTGCTAGAAATGTTGCAAAGCATCCCAGAATGCCCTGGAGCGCCTGCCGGACAGAATGGCTGTCTTCTGGAAGCATCACCTGAAGGACGTGGACTTCTCAGAAAACGCACTCAGAGAGGTTCCCCTGGGGCTCTTCCAGCTCGACGTAAGTGCGGTGGCCCCTCTATTTCAGTTTGCTCCGCGCTGCGGGCATCTGTGCTCCCTTTGAGCCCCGAAAAGGTGTGGCTGTTGGCAGGAAAAGTGCCAAATGAAAGCAGTTCTGTGCGGTGGTGGGGTGATGGGTTCTTAAAATCCGGGACTTCCTTTATTTATTTTTTTCTTGATTGATTTGAGAGAGAGAGGAAGGGAGAGGGAGAGAGAGAAACGTCGATGAGAGAGAACATCGATTGGCCACCTCCTGCACGCCCCCCGCTGGGGATCAGGCCCACAACCTGGGCATGTGCCCTGACCGGGAATCGAACCGGCGACCTCCTGGTGCAGGGTCGACGCTCAACCACTGAGCCACACGGGCCGGGCCCAGGACTTTCTTTGATGTTAAATGTTGTGAGCACAGCCCGGCAGCCCCTGATCTTCTCCAGCTCTGTCCCTTCGCGAGCGACACGGAGCTCAGCTGGGTTATGAAGCCAAAGCTGAGGGAACACTGCATTGCAGGGCCTTCTTGCCCCTGCCTCCCTCCAAAGAGGTGGCAGTTCTGGAAGCTTCTTTGGCCATGACTTCAGGAAATGCCTTTCCCAGAGCCCCGGGTGTCCCCTCCCCACCAGCGTGGGGCTCCTGTCTCGCTTTGGGCATTGCAGGCCTGCCTCTGTTTCCCCCACATGCTCGGGTGGGGACCTGTAAGGCAGAGCATGGATCCTGTCACCTGACCTTCGTGCCAGGCCCAGCCCCAGAAAGGGGCCTGGCCCATGTTTGCTGAAGGCTGAGGGCGGCCCGGGCAGGGTGCACAGGCCTCGGCGCCCACAGGCTCTCATCCAGGCTGGGTGCAGCCTCCCCCATGTTCAGGGATCCCCAGAAGGCAGCAGAGGCCCCTTCCACATGCGTGTTCCCAGGGACAAGGGTCATGGAGCCACAGGCGCCGGGAGTGTGAGGCGGGGCAGACGCTGCCATCCTGAGCCCCCGTCGTGGGTGGAATAGTCGGTGCGTGGTGGTGGCATCAACAATGAGCGATACTCTGCCCCTGAGCCCTCCCAGGTCAAGGGCAGAGCCTTTAGTCCTCGGTGACCGGGTTTGCCGGCAGGGCCTGCAGCAGCAGGTGGACGTCAGGGCCAGGCAGTCGGTGAGGGGACCACAGTCACATGGTGGCCCCGGGCTCCTGACCAGCCAAGGGTGTGTGACTCGGAGGGGTTGCCCTCAGGGTCCCTGCTACCCCCTGCCCTGTCTGGGCTGTCCCCTGAGTTGGCCCAAGAAGGCCTCATGACGCCCCCCTCCTGTGGTGACATTCGGAGCCAGCCACTGTCCCCAAGACAGGCTCACAGACACTCACCCCTGGACGGTTAGGAAGTCTCCGCTCTGAGAGGTACTGAGACTCCTTTCTTTCTGGAATAATCGTCTCCCACTGACCTGGCGGAGGGGTCTTCTGTCCAGTGTCCCATCTGTTCGGTACAATTCCCTGAGTTTAAGACACTCTTGAGTCCACATGATGGAGCCTGGGGCAAGGTGGACCGGTTATCACCTTCCGGCTCCACTCTGCCGGGAACCGACTTTCCTCCAGCTCCCCCTTCGGCACGAAGGGCATCTGCCTCTCTCCCTGTCTGTCCCAGGCGCTCTTGTCCTTGAGGTTACAGGGTAACCAGCTGGTGGCAGTGCCACCCCAAGAGAAGTGGACCTGCCGGCAACTGAAAACCCTGGACCTCTCCAGAAACCAGTTTGGCAGGTAAGCAAGTCCCCGTCCCCGGCAGGCCCCGCAGTGCGGAGACCCAGCCGAGCGGGCACCCGGACTGTGTCTCCGTAGCGTGCTAGCGGCCAAGACAAAGTGCCCCGGGCGGGGCTGAGACAACAGGCATTTCTTTGTCATTGTACTGGAGGCCGAAGTGTAATCCAGGGTGTCAGCAGGGTTGATCTCTTCTGAGGCCCCCGTTCTGGGCTTGCAGACGGCGTCTTCTCGTGTCCCTGCACAGTCTTCCCTCTGAGCCTGTGTCCTGACACCCTCCTCCCGTGAGGACTCAGATCCATTCTCATGACCTCGCGTTAACTTAATCCCTCTCTTTAGACGTGGTCTCCGGATAAGGCCGCCTTCTAAGTATGGAGAGTTAGACGTTATTATATGAACTTGGAGGAGGGGAGACGGTTTGGCCCACAGCAGGGTCCCCCCATTTCTCATTTTTAGGGACTCCTGGAGATCTTTTCCCTTTAGCCTAACCGGCCATTCTGTTGAAAGGTTTTTGCCCATCGCTAAGCGATATGATATAAATTGAATGAAAGGAATCCCCCAAGACTGAATAAAAAGGTGAAAATCTGCCCTGGCCAGTTTGGCTCAGCGGTTAGAGCGTTGGCCTGTGGTCCAGAGAGACCCGGGTTCGGTTCCCGCTAAGGGCATGTACCTCGGTTGCAGTTTGTTCCCGGCCCTGGTTGGGTCATGCGGGTGGCAGCCACTCGATGTGTCCCTTTCACATCGATGTTTCTCTCTCTCTCTCCTTCCCACTCTGTCAGAACAAAATATGGGAAAATGTCCTCGGGTGAGGATAAAAATATAAAAAAATTTTTAAAAAAGGTGAAAATCTGGGGATGGGCCCAGGTGCCCCTCGGGGTCCTGGAGACCAGCCTCCGTGGTTTACTTGCTAAAGGGCCACTTCCATGGTGTCTGAGTGGAACTGACACCCCAAAGAGAAGTCTCCTGGTGAGCACCCTAAAAGTAACATCCGTGGGAATGGGCATTCCCTCCGGGCACGGAACTGTTCCCACCTGCCTGGAGGGAAAAGCCCAAGAAGGGGACCGGGGTCACGCCTGCCTTAGATTACCATCTCTAGTCGTTTCTTTCCCAAAAGACTTCTGAACACGACCGGTTGTCATCAGTGAGCCGTGGCTGTCGACGCTCACACGTCAGCCGCGGGGGGCCCCGCACCCCGCTGATGGAATTCTCTCCCTTCTCCCTGCAGGCATTATATAGTCACAGCCAAAATAGTGAGGCCTTTGTCCTGCTTTCCTCCCGTTTTGACTCTTTTTCCTCCCGTTTTGACTCTTTTTCCTCCCACAGAAATGAAGATGGACTTAAAACCAAGCGCATTTCCTTCTTCACCACGAGAGGGCGCCAGCGTTCAGGGACTGAGACAGGTGTGTGTGTAGATGCCCCGAGATGAGGATGCTGGGCAGGCGGTTCCCTGGTTCCCTGCTCCCCCACCGGGCGGGATTGTCCTTCTGTTGGGCTCTCCCCCCAGTGCCCAGTGCGCATGTCCACATTTGACCGAAAACCCTGGAAATGAACTGTGCCGTTGCTGGTGGGGTACATGTGGCCTGAAAGTACCCTGACATCCCTTCCCTGGTTGCAGTCCGGTGAGGCTGGCTGCTGCTCTGTGGGTGTCCTAGATGCGCTGAGTGTGAGTCTTTCTCTGACCCTCCCGGAAACGGACCCCCAGAGTCTCAGTCGGCTTGGGCGTCCCTAACAAGGTACCAGACACTGGGAGGCTTGAGCAACAGCAATGTGTTTCCCCCTCATTCTGGAGGATGGAGGTCTGAGATCGGGGTGCCAGCATGGTTGGCTCCTGGTGGGAACCCTCTCTCCAACTTGCAGATGGCACTAATCCCATCACGGGGGCCCCACCCTTGTGGCCCTTCTACCTCATCACCTCCCAAAGGCCCCCACTTCCTAATACCGTCACATCGGGGGTTCGGGCTTCAACATATGGATTTGGGGAGACAGTTCGGTCTCGGCAGAGGGGTTCACTGATGTGGTCACGTGGCTGCTCAGTGGCAAAGCCAAGTTTCGAGCCAGCACTGGGGGTGGGGGCGAGGCAGACTGTGACATTCCTACAGTCACTCTGCGGGGTCCTGGGAGATCCACAGGGGAGCACGGCCACTCTCTCAGTCCCCCAGGTCGCCATGGCAGAGAGTCCAGAGGGACTTGGGGGCTTCCCCACAGTGCATCAGAAACAGAACTTTTGCTAAACTGTTTGTACTGGTCACACAACAAGGCCAGTGCAGCGGAGAATACGTCGAGGAAAGTAGTTCCCATCCATTATCTTCTGTGAAGCGTGGGCTTGTCCCTTGCATCAACCAGCCTGCTTTTTTTTTTTTATCCTCACCCAATGACATTTTTTCATTTTTTGTTCAAATAGAGTGGGAGGGAGAGAGAGAAACATCGACGTGAAAGGGACATATCAAGTGGCTGCCACCCGCACGACTGAACCAGGGCCGGGGACAAACTGCAGCCAAGGTACGTGCCCTTAGCGGGAACCAAACCCGGGTCTCTAGGGACCACAGGCTGACGCTCTAACCGCTGAGCCAAACTGGCCAGGGCACCAGCCCTGCTTTTTAACCTGAAGCGAAGACTTCTAAAGCCAGCTCTGCTCACAGAGACGCCCCCAGGATGCTGTCCCGTAGGTCATCTTCAGTGTGATATAACTCTCGCCTTTGGTTGAGCAGGTCTATGCTGCAAGTGCTCGTTAAGCCCAGATGGTGTGAGGTGGGGATAAGAACCCACAGACACCCAGACACTTTGCAGGAAGCAAACACAGAAGTCTGCTCACCCACTATATTCTTCACGAACTGGTGGGTGTATGTATACTTATGACATGTGTCTGTCAGTCATGCACGAGTGTGTTTACATATGATTGAACATGTAATGCATCACCCTGGCCGGTTTGGCTCAGCAATTAGAGCATCGACCTGCGGACCAGAGAGTCCCGGGTTCGGTTCCCGCTAAGGGCATGTACCTCGGTTACAGTTTGTCCCTGACCCCGGTTGGGGTCGTGTGGGTGGCAACCAGTCGATGTGTCTCTCCCACATCGATGTTTCTCTCTCTGTCTTCCTCCCTCTCTCTCTCCCACTCTATCTGAAGATAAATGCAAAAATGTCTTCGGGTGGGGATAAAAATTAATAAATAATATATCATCAGGGAAACAGATAAGAGTCCAGAAATAGACCTAAGTCAATATAGGAATTTAATAGATGACCCCAGTGGCATTTCAGTTTCATGGGGAAAGAACATTGTGTTATTTTAATAAGTAGTGTTAATGTTACTGGTTGGCCAGATGCAAAAGGAAAGTTAGAACCTAGATTTCCAACCCTACATCAACTACCGAATTTCCACGTGGATTTCAGAATAAAAGAAAAAGAAAATGACATTTAAAAGAACAGATGTATAATTGAGGGTGGAGAAGATCTTTAAAAGCTAGGTGGGAAATTCAGAAATCTTTTTTTTTAATCGTCACCCAAGGATGTGTTTTTATCGATTTGAGAAAGAGAGATCGATCAGTTGCCTCTTGTACACACCCCGACTGGGGATCGAACCCACAGCCTGGGTATGTATCCTGACTGGGAATCGAACCCGCAACCTTTTGGTATATGGGACAATACTCCAACCAACTGAGCCACTCAGCCAGGGCCAGAAATCCTTTTTCTTAAAAGACCAAAACCTTAAGCTTTGTAAAAACAGACTTCGAAGAAATATTTGCAACATACATTGGCTCAACTCCCTGATATACAAAGATTGCTTACAAATTGATTTCCTTTTTTAAAAATAAAGGCAACCTAATAGGCAAAAAAAGGGCAATGGATATAAACAGTTGACAGAGAAGGAAGTCAGATGGCCGGGAAACCAACAAGAAGGCCCCGAACCACACTGACAGGGAAACACAGTGGGGAATTCCATAACTGCCCCTTTTATTTATTTATTTTTAATATTTTTTCTTCATTGATTTTTAGAGGGAAAGAGAGAGAGAAACATCAATGAGAGAGACCATGGACTGGCCGCCTCCTGCATGCCCCCCACTGGGGATCAGGCCCACAACCTGGGCATGTGCCCGACCGGGAATCAAACCGGCGACCTCTTGGTACAGGGTTGAAGCTGAACCACTGAACCACACCGCCCGGGCATAACTGCCCCTTTTTAAAATGAGGGGCCTCAGGGCTTTGGAAACGAGTCCAGACGTAGGGATCTCACTTGGGAGGAAAGAGAAGCAAACCCTCCATCTCATCAATTCCAAATGGAGCAGTGGGCATGGAACGTGTCGCTGGGGTGAAGCCGTCGCGTGTCCCTCGCTGCGGACGAAGCCCCATACATTTGGGTTGTTAGAAGGGTGAGGACATGGGCTGACACTCCGTGGGACCAGCCACCCCTGTGAAGGCATTATGGGAATAGCTACCGATGTTCTGGAAAATGCCTCTGCTCATGGCCCACACGGGCGTGTCTGGGGGGGCGAGGTGGGGAGGCCGCACATCTTGGAGGGCCCCCCCGCCACGGTGGATGGCAGAGTGGGCACAGGACAGAGGCCTCTTGATTTTTTTATTTTCGTCTAGCAAGTTGAGGCCCACATGGGGGGGGGAAGAAGGCGGCCCGTCGCAAAGCTGTCTCCTCTCTCGGGCTGTTGACCCACAGGCAGGAACTATCTATAAAAGATAACTTGTTTGCGGATGGATAGTAAAATTCCGAGTGAATTTATGCACCTTCGAGTAGTCATATTTGTGCAGCGGCCTTGTCCAAAAATAATTTGGACAGCCGTTTTTACGGTAACCTTCAGACCAGCGGAGTCATAAATAACTTATGAATAAATAATTACAGTTCATAAATGCCTCGCGCCGGACTCCCCTGCCCGGTCTTCATAGTTTCCACACGGGGCCAGGAGATCTCTAACAGGTGTTGCTTCTGTCTGGAGCAAAGGTTCCTTCTTCCATCCGTCCGTTACTTAAAGAGGGTTCATAAACACCCGGGAGAAACTTTAAAGCTGGCAGGCAGCAGAAGCCAAGTGTTCAGAGGTGTTCTCCGGGAAGAAAGCGAGCCTTTCTCATTCTCGATGTTTTTCGGTGTGAATGAGGGCAGGCTAAAATTGCTCATTCTTTTTCATTGAGGAAAAGAAGTCTTTTGAACATTTTCTCGCGGAACAGGGGCTGATACCAAGCCGTCTCTAGGAGGCAGTTGCGTGTTTATTCCCCTAGGGGGCGCTGCATTGAGCCCTGCTCAACACTGCGGCTAACTGGGCACACTGCCGGGCACCGGTTTTGGTATTCCGTTATCATCTCCCCCAGAGCATTCTCCGATGCCAGGTTACCCTATTGCCATGGACTCTGCGCTCCGTGTGGAGAAGGGCCAGAGCGAAGAGGGGGTGGGTGTCATGATCGAGGGCAACAGAGCATCCTTTAGCCCAAAGAGAGATTCTGGCTTCTCTGTCCTCTCGTCTGGCAGAGAACCAGGCGAGAGGGCGTCAAGCCACTACTTTATCTTGAATTCTGCAGGCTGTCCTGCCCCCTCTCCCTGCCTTTGGAGGGGGGAAGGCCCTTCAGAGATTCTGCTGAAACCCAACCCCCTGGTTCCCATCAGCGTGCGTTTCCAAGCCTCTGAAACACATTCTTTCTCAACTCACACTCTGGTGCCCGCGAAACGGCGGGTTGGACGTGATTTTAATGGTAATCTCATCATTAGTCTAATTAATGAAGTCATTGGAAGACCGGAGAGTTGGCTTGTTTTTCAGAAAATGCCATCTTAGGGAGCATGGGAACAAAGCCCATATTAGTACTTTTTTTTTAGCGAACTGGCTTTCTCTAATTGAAGAAGTCACACGTGGACGTGCCAGACAAAATTTCTGAACGGTACCAGCTGGCGCGGACGGGATAGTCCGTCCCCTGACCACTTTCTTCTCCAGAGACGTCTGTGGAATTCCATGTGTCTCTGGTCACAACTGTGTCTGACATGCATGTATAACATAGACACACGTATGTGCATTTTGCCACGTGTACACACATGCATATAACACACACACATAAATGCATGGGGTGTGGTTTGCTCACGAGTCCGCACACTGTTTGTGGTTCATCCAGTAAGCCTTCAGCTACCTTGTTCCACACCTTGTTTTTCGGCCCACAGCCGTCCATGCAGAACTTCCCGCACTCTCTGACGGTTGTTATTACCCCACCCCGCTGTGGGTGGACGGCTGGGCTGTCCTGTCTTTGCTGTTAGAAACTGTCCCCCAACACCCTTGTTGTCACATCTTTGCCCGCGTTCAAGGACACCTGCTTGGCGAAGTGCTGGAATTGGAATCCCTCGTCCGTAGCACGAGCATCCACCCCGAGGCTGCGCCCACGTGTCCAGCCCTTGGCCTCTGCGCGGCGGCCACAGTCCATTTCAAACCCAGCCGCCTTGCCTCTCTTTGCAGTGTGTGTCCTGGACTTCCCAGCCTTCCTGAGTGACTCTCTGGAAGTCCTGTGTCTGAACGACAATTATCTGGATGCAGTCCCACCCTCCGTCTGCCTACTGAAGGGCTTATCAGAACTCTACCTGGGAAAGTAAGTACACAGCCTGGAGGCAGGGTGTCCCTCCCTAAATCGCCAAGGACACAGCCAGGGGGGAGGAGCCCTCTGCAGGCAGAGCCAGGCCTTGGGCGGGGGAGGCACAGAGGAGCCCCAGGGTGAGGCTGGGGCGCTCTGCTCGTGTTCCTGAGGACTGTCTGATCCCCGTCCTTCCGTTCACTGAGCAGCTACTGCCAAGCACTTCCGAGGGTTCAGCAGTGGGCAAATCCTCATGGAAATAGAAAATACGTCAGGTCACCCCGCCTTTGCGGGAGGAGGTAGTGATCGTCATCAAGGTGGTGTAATTAATAGACCAGCTGAGAAAGTTGGGGGGTGGGACCCAGTGCTGAGCCACCAGGATTGGCAGAGGACAAAGCTGCCATTCGGACCCCTGGCTTCCCAGGGGGAAAGGCTTTGAAATTAGTATATAAATGGACCATTGGAAATCAGGGCCCAAGATGCTGGGTTTGGGGTGTGGGCTGAGTGGCTGCTGCAAGCCTCCGAGCTGACCGGCTGCTGTGTGTGTGTGCGTGCGTGTGCGTGCGTGTGCATGCGTGTGCGCGTGTGTGTGCGTGTGTGCTTGTGCGTGCGTGTGTGTGTGCCCCCATGGTGCTCCTAGCAATCCTGGCCTGAGAGAACTCCCCGCTGAGCTGGGGCAGCTGGGCAACCTCTGGCAACTGGACATTGAAGATCTGAACATCAGCAATGTGCCTGCAGAGATCAGGAAAGAAGGTAAGGCTTCCCGGTGCCACCCCCTTGGAAAGACAGCTCAAGTCTCGCTGTTGAGGGCCTGGGGTGGAGACAGCGGGGTGACCCATGGAGCCCGACTCCAGCCCCCATGTTTGGGAAGATGCTGAGAACTCACTCAGAAAGCCGTAGTTGCTGAGGGCCATCATCATTATTTTTTCTTTATTGATTTGAGAGAGAGAGGAAGTCAGAGGGAGAGAGAGAAACATCGATGAGAGAGAACATTGATTAGCCGCCTCCTGCATGCCCCCCACTGGGGATTTGGCCCACAACCTGGGCATGTGCCCTGACTGGGAATCAAACCGGTGACCTCTTGGTGCAGGGTCCACACTCACCACTGAGCCACACCGGCCGGGCACTGAGAACCATTACTGTACTGTCATCCACCATGTGCTAAAACTAGTAGGACCCCGTAGGCACCAAGGATGTTGCCTTTAGGTCTGTGACTTTAGTCTTCACTTTCGGGGGTGATCAGTATCCCTGCTCCCCTCCTTTGGATCCAGCAGTCTTCTGAACCCACCCCATTGCGACACCTAGAAAGGGGCTCTTCCAGACGGGATCTTGCTCCCCAGGGAGGCGGGTGTGCCCCCCACAGTCTCAGCAATGCCCCCCCATCTCCCACAGTCTCAGCAGAGGCCCCCCCATCTCCCGCAGTCTCAGCAGTGCCCCCCCATCTCACGCAGTCTCAGCAGCGCCCCCCCATCTCGCGCAGTCTCAGCAGCGGGCCCCCATCTCGCGCAGTCTCAGCAGCGCCCCCCATCTCCCGCAGTCTCAGCAGCGCCCCCCATCTCCCACAGTCTCAGCAGCGCCCCCCATCTCCCACAGTCTCAGCAGAGGCCCCCCATCTCCCGCAGTCTCAGCAGCGCCCCCCCATCTCCCGCAGTCTCAGCAGCGGGCCCCCCATCTCCCGCAGTCTCAGCAGCGCCCCCCATCTCCCGCAGTCTCAGCAGCGGGCCCCCCATCTCCCGCAGTCTCAGCAGCGCCCCCCATCTCCCGCAGTCTCAGCAGCGGGCCCCCCATCTCCTGCAGTCTCAGCAGCAGGCCCACCCCCCCAGCCCCAGCAGCGGTCCCACACCCCACAGTCTCAGCAGCGGCCCCCCATCTCGCGCAGTCTCAGCACCGGGGGGGCCCCCCATCTCACGCCGTCTCAGCAGCAGCCCCCCATCTCGCGCAGTCTCAGCAGCGGGCCCACCCCCCCCAACCCCAGCAGCGGCCCCACCCCCCCAACCCCAGCAGCGGCCCCACACCCCACAGTCTCAGCAGCGGGCCCCCCATCTCGCGCAGGCCCCAAAGCAGTGCTGTGCTACCTGCGCGCGCAGCTGCGGAAAGCCGAGAGGTGCAAGCTGATGAAAATGATCGTCGTGGGACCTCCGCGCCAGGGCAAGTCCACGCTGCTGGAGATCTTGCAGACGGGGCGGTGCCCCCAGCTGGCGCACGGCGAGGCCACCATCAGGACCACCAAGTGGGAGCTCCAGAGGCCCGCGGGCTCCAAAGCCAAGGTGAAGGGCGGCGGGCACGCAGCGGCCCCCGGCCCTCCCCCCTCCTTCCCGCAGAGCCTGGGACTTCCTCGCCCGTGTCCGAGACCCCAAAGGTCGCAGGGCCCAATGTGTGCCGTCTCAAACCCGCTCCTGCCAAGCCGGTGAACTCCTTAACATGACCTTGGAGTTCTTCTTTTTCTTAAATATGTTTTTATTGATTTTAGAGAGGAAGGGAGAGGGAGCGAGAGATAAAAACATCGATGAGAAACATCAACATCCATCGATTGGCTGCCTCCTGCTGGGGATCGAGCCCACAACCTGGGCATGTGCCCTCAGCAGGAGTCAAACCAGTGACCTCCTGGTGCACAGGTTGAGGCTCAGCCACTGAGCCACACCGGCCAGGCTGGAGTTTATCTGTTAGAATAAGTTGAGGCTCCGGCAGTGACCGCCAATCCTGGTTGTCAGAGTTCCTCAGTGAGCCTTTAAAGACAGTGTTGCCCCTGCCTTTCTACTCCTGACCCCAGCGACTGCGATTCAAATGGCCTGGGGCCGGGCCCACGGGGGCTGAGAACCAATCACTGCTGTAGGCGGTGAGACCCTCGGCACCTGCAGCTAACGGGGAGGCTGGGAAAGCACCCCAAGTATGAATGTGCTGTTCCCCTGACACCTGCTGTCACCGCAGGGTCTGAAAAATCTAGTTTTGAAGCCCTGTTTAAATCTAATCCTTCTGGGGACCTGTTGATTCTCCTGTTTTCCATTCAGCAGGAGACAAATAAACATGAAAATTGTCTCTAATTAGAATCAGGAAAAAGCCTGGGAATACTGGTGGATGGAATACAGCCCGGCCAGGAGCTGTGTCCAGGCCCAGGGAGTGGGTGCAGCCAATGCCTCCCTTACCTGTGGCCAAATGTGGGGCTGCAGGTAGCCCCACAGGGATGCAGATGCAGGGGGCTGCTTGCGGGGACCGGGGGGCTTCCAGGCCCAAGCCTGCATGGTGCCCCACAGCCCAGCACAGCCTCACACACGAACCACTTTCCGAGTCAGGGAACTCCATCCTGTGTGCGTCACTCGGCATGTAAGCTGAATGTCTAATTTAACGTTGACTCAGAGCATAGTCCCCTGAAGAACAGAGCCCTGCCTGTTCGGGCCAGAACGGTCGAATAATTAAATCACCCTCCCCCCAGAACACCCCAGGACTGAATCCACCTAAATCGTGCCCGCAGGGTCTTTAAGTGACCCGATCTCTGGATGCCCCCCCTGCTTTGTGCAGCCGCTCCTGACAGCTGCCCGCGGCCCGAGCAGCGATGACCGTTGTCATCAACGGTCTCCTTCGGCCCCTGGTTCTTTCCTGCCGTCGCTAAAGTGACCCCCTCTCTCCCCCTGAAAGACAGCCTCCCCGTCCTTCGAATGCTGAGCCCGTAGCTCTGTGGGACTGGACCGCCTGCCAATTGAGCACAGCTGTCCAGCTGTTCGTTTTCAACTCTCTACAGAAGCGGGTCTTGGAGGCCCGAAGGCAGCATCGTGGGAATGGTTCTTGGCTCCAGAAAACCACAGTCTCAGCTGCTCGGGCCAGACTCTTACCTCATAGAGCGATAGAGAAACCACCGTTTACACAGCCCTTCCCAGCAGCCCAACAGCTAAGCTTTTGTTTAATTCCCACGGCAAGGCGGTTTCCCTGCGCCCTTGGTGGGCGCCGCCTCTGACCCCCGAGAGTCCAGAGGCCCGTCTCCTCGGCCCCACTCAGCGGGAGGCTCAGCTCAGTGTGCGCGCTGATATCACTGACGGGCTCCAAGGGCAGGACGTCCCCTAACTGTCTGCAGCCCGGATGGAGACCGGACAATGCCCCCGTGTCCACAGACAGATGGACACGGTGTCCAGGCCGGGCTCTGCTCCACTAATAGTGGATAGAGGCCCCCGTAAGTCCACTCTGCACCCTGGGTCCCTTTCCCCGACTTGGATGACCGACTCCTAACACGAACGCCGAGACAGGCAAAGCTTGTCCGTCGGCCGTGTTTTAGGCCCTAAACACAGCGTGCAAAGGGGACAGTTTTCTCGGGGCTGGAGCCGTGGTCTGTAACATGCCTCCTGCCTCTGCTTTGTTGCTCAAGTAGGTTGAGTCCATAGAATTCAACGTCTGGGACATCGGCGGCCCCACCAGCATGGCGACCGTCAACCAGTGCTTCTTCACGGACAAGGCCCTGTACGTGGTGGTCTGGAACCTGGCGCTGGGCGAGGAGGCCGTGGCCAGCCTCCAGTTCTGGCTGCTCAACATCGAGGTGAGAGACCCGGCCCGTCGGAGCGCCGTCCCCGGGCGTCGCGGGGATCCGGCCACACCTCTAAAGCGTCCCCTTTTACTGAGAAAAACAAACCCTCAGGAAGAAGCTTTGCGTTTGGGCAAACTGCACGGAGGGCCCTGGCATCCGAGGCCACGGTGGGGCATTGACAACCCCCTGGCTGGATGGTGTCTGGCAGCAAGTGCTCTAGTCCTTCTCCCTTAATTGAAAGCCCCTCGCTGTCGGGTAAAGGGGAGCAGGGCGCCCCTCTCCGGTGCGAGGTGACGGCTGGAGGCAGCCTCTGTCCCAGGAGGCGGCTGCACCGTCTGACGGGGTCTGAAATCCAGGGAGATTCACAGGGGCCTCGCACCCCTCAGTCGGGGTCTTGTGCCCTCGAGGTTTGCTGACAGGAGTGGGCGACAGGCTCAGGGCCACAGGCCGGAGGTGGGCATCACCTGGGAGGGGTCTCGCCACCCTGTACAGGTGAGGGCAGTGGGTGCTCAGCCCCGGGTTCTCTGTTGCAGGCCAAGGCCCCCAACGCCGTGGTGCTGGTGGTGGGGACCCACCTGGACTTGATCGAGAGCAAGTTCCGCGTGGAGAGAATCGCGACGCTGCGAGCCTACGTCCTGGCTCTCTGCCGCGCGCCCTCCGGGTCCCGGGCCACCGGCTTCCCTGACATCACTTTCAAACACTTACAGTGAGTGTCCCAGGCCTCCTGCTCGCTCTGACCTGGCGGGTGGCCGTGGCCGCTGCTCCCTCTCTTGTCGATCTTCCCAGGCACCCTGAGATCTGCCCGTGGAGGGCTCCTAACCAGGCTGGGCTCCTCTGGGGCCGCTTCCAACATGAAGGGGAGCAGCCTGACCCCCAGGGCAGACACGGCACTGGGGAGGGCGCTCTGGGCTTGTCCCTTCTCCCACCTCCTGTCCTAGGACTCTCGCCACGGCCCTGCAGGTTAGACGTGGCACCCACGTTGCAGATGGTGAAACTGAGGCTCAGCAAGTCCAGTTACCATCCTCTGGTGGGAGTCAAGTGTGTGTGGCAGTGGCTGCGCTCGTGGCTTTGGGTGCCGCCCCTCTGGGTAGAGTTCCGTGGACAAGGGTGCACAGGTCAGCCTGGGGACACAACTGCCCAGCTCAGAAGGCAGAACTCCTGCGCCCTGGGGTCTGTGACAACGGAACACCAGCTCTGGGTCAGAGGCCTGGGTTCAACCCGAGTCTGCTCCCCTCCAGCTTGTGTCCTTGGGGGCCACCTCCCTTCCCTCCTCTGTAAAATGGGCACGTTGGGAAGGCGGACCGAAGTGACAGGTGGGGGCGCTCTCAGCACCGTGCTCTGCGCCGAGCGAGACCTCGAGAAACCTCTGCGTGTCCGTGTTCCGTGCGTGCTCGCGACTCTCCGGTGTTCGGGACGAAACACTCGGGAATCAGAGACGCCGCGGCGCCTGTCGGAGGCCAGGCCGGTGAGGAGGGGTCTGTTCTGCACCCACAGCGAGGTTTCCTGCAAGAGCCTGGAGGGCCAGGAGGGGCTGCGTCAGCTCATCTTCCACGTCACCTGCAGCATGAGGGACGTGGGCAGCACCATCGGCTGCCAGCGGCTCGTGGGGAGGCTGGTGGGTACCTCACATCCCGCGGAGGCAGAGGGGCCTGCGCCCCGTTTGTGGGGAGCCACCGCCTCTCTCTAGCGTGTCCTCGGGCTCCGTGGTCCCAGCCAGCAGGCAGGCGGGGAGGCCGGGCACACCGGGCACACCTGGGGGCTCAGCCTGCCCATGTCCCCAGATCCCCAGGAGCTACCTGAGCCTCCAGGAGGCCGTGCTGGCGGAGCATCAGCGCCGCCGCCTGAGCGACGACGTGCAGTACCTGACGGACCGGCAGCTGGAGCAGCTGGTGGAGCAGACACCCTGCAATGACATCAACGACTACGAGGACCTGCAGTCTGGTGGGTGGGGGAGGGGCGCGGGCGGCACCGGGCACGCACGGGGTCCCGGAAAGGGGGCGCAGGTTTTCCACCACTCTGCGCATGTCTGCAAAGGACACAGATGCGCTGCGGGTATTGATTTGGGGGTCACACATCAATTCTGAGTAAGCGGATTTGCAGAGATGGAATCCGGAATAAAGGGGACCGAGAGACGGGGGCTCCCCGGCTGGCTGGCGGCATGTTGGTACCTGCAGGGGGCAGCCGACCGATCCGAAGGCCCACATGTTGGTGTTTCCCGGGAAGAATCTGCGACCTGGCCCTCATGGACGTCGGGGCCCCGGGTCCCCTTGGCCCTCTGTCTGATGCTGCCCCTCCCCCTCTGCGTAGCCATCAGCTTCCTCATAGAGACCGGTGCCCTGCTGCACTTCCCTGACACCAGCCACGGCCTGCGGAACCTCTACTTCCTGGACCCCATCTGGCTGTCCGAGTGTCTGCAGAGGATCTTCAACATCAAAGGCTCCCGCTCAGTGGCCAAGAACGGGGTGATCCGGGCGGAGGACCTCAGGATGCTGCTGGTCGGGACCGGCTTCACGCAGCAGACGGAAGAACAGTATTTCCAGTTCCTGGCCAAGTTTGAGATCGCCCTGCCCGTGGCCAATGACAGGTGAGTGCTGGGACCGGGCTGCGCCCGCTGCTGCAAGGAGGAGGAGCTGGGGCCGAGGGGTGGGCCGTGGTGTCTCTTTTCACGGGGTTCGAAGATAACCACTCGCTGAAAAGTTGTAGGAAAACATACAAGGATGGCATGAAAACTAACTTTGCGGGGGTTCACATTTCAGGGGGTCGATTGCTTGGTTATTTGGTGAATAGACAAGGAGTAAGTGACAAGTCTGCTCATGCTAATTGCACAGCTTGGCTTCAGGGTGCAGGGCCCGGGCTGGGTAGGCGGGTGATGCTCCAATCTAAGCCCGCTTGGTACTCAGGGCCTCCTGGCCTGAATTCAGTGTAGCCACTTCCTGGGTCTGATCTGATATTGACCAGCAGCCAGGACCCCAAGTCCGCCAAATGTGTTTCCACCTTGCCTCCAACCCCGGAGTTCTGGGGCGAACCCACTGGAGCCTCCTGGGGCGCTGGCTTGGACCCGGCGCCTCTACCCCAGAGACTGTGTCAGCCATGCCCGGGTCCCACCGAAATTTCTACTCAGCCTTGTAGCTTTAGGAGGGGCCTCCAGTCCTGGCTGGTATGGCTCAGCGGTTAGGAGGGGCCTCCAGCCCTTTGGGGACCACCAGCGAGTCCTCAAAAGCAAAACCACAAAATGGATTTCAAAATCCACACGGCCCCTCGCACCGTGGCCGGGGGCGTCCTGGGCTTCGGTCCAGGAGAAAGCCCAGGGCCAGGCGGCTTGGGAGTGGACAGCGGTGCCGAACACAACACGTGTCTGGTCATTTCATCAACAGGCGTGAGGAGGCGCTGACACTCAGTAAGGGCAAGTCAGTTATGCGTGTATGCGAGTCTGCGTGGACGACAGCCGGCTCGTCCCCGGGTCCTCGTGGAGGCTCAGTGCAGTGGTCAGAGCGTGGGGCTGAGATCTGAGGATGAGTCCCCACTGCCTTTCTTTGCCCATCTGTGGAATGGGAATAATACACGAAGAGAGAGGCCCTGCAGCTGGGGTGGGTGAGAAGGTCCTTTATCCCCCCCAGGTCTGAAATGGGGAGCCCCTAAAACTTCACCGCCCGCCCCCTCTGGGCCTCGCCACCCCTGGGAGCTGGGTGTCCCTTCTCTTCCCAAGTCGGGAGTGAGGTTGCAGAGGTCACAGGTGTGTGTAAGACCCCGAGCCTGCCTGTCACTTTATTTTCCTTCTACGATATATTTTTGGAATCTCTTCCAGAAAATTATAAAGACATTTTTATTGGAGGACCTAAACCGATGTGTTTTAAGAGGATTAGGAGGAAAGCCTTTGTTAAGAAAGGGACACACCCTCGTTCTGCCCTGAGCCTGACCCTTGGGGACACTCTTGGAGGGACCTCCTGGCTTTCGGCTGTTTTCCAAGGACCACAGCCAGGGGCCGCGCGGTGACATGGTGATTCAGAGCTTTTATGACCAGCAAGACACTCTTGTCAAATGCCCTCCTTCGCGCGAACAGCCTCGTTCAGTCTTTAAAGGCGACTGCAGGGTCTCCGTTAGCCAAGAACAATAAATAGCTTCGAAAGCCAAAAAACGCCACTCTGACCCCAGGACCTCCCTTGTCCTTGGGGCTGGACAGCTGTGTTTGTTTCCTCCGCCGTCCAGAGCCCATCTGAGGCGACTCCGGGCCGCCGCCCCTGTACATGCAGAGCCTCCCGGCGGTTTGCTCTGTGTGTCGCGTTTGCGATCACGGAAGGTTCCTGTCCTTTTCCGACGTCAACCTGGTCTCTGTCTTAGAGACTCGATCCATACGTTCCCGCCTTCGTTCTCTCTTGGAGCATTTATTCTTAGCATATAAACTGCGCTCTCTTTTTCAAAACAAAATCCCAAGGCCCCGGGAAGAGGGCAGCTGGCTGTCCGCGGGTCGGACGGTCACGGTGCCCTTTGGTGTTGCAGCTACCTCCTGCCGCACCTCCTCCCGTCCAAGCCGGGCCTGGACACCCACAGCATGCGGCGCCCCGCGGCCAACACCATTCAGAGGGTGTTTAAGATGAGCTTCGTTCCCGTTGGCTTCTGGCAACGGTTCATAGCGCGGATGCTGATCAGCCTGGCAGAGATGGACCTCCAGGTAGTGGCGGTTTCTCCCCGGGGTGGGGTCCCTGCAGCAGTGCCCTCGAGGGAGCGCCCTCTGCTGGAAGGTTTGACTAAAAAATGCTTTTCCTGCAGCAAAACTGTTGACTTAGGCCCAGGAGTTGAGCTGGGCACAGCCTTCGTCCTGCTGAGCCAGCAGACCCCTTGGAACCGTGCTGGGAACATAAGTCAGCACCTGGCTGGCTCAGAATAGTCCTTTGCAAGCAGTGGTTAACCTGCACCCAAATCCCTGCAGGGCTGGGCCCCACTCGAGGTTCTGAGTCAGTGGACATGGGCAGGGACCCAAGAATCTGCATATCTGACCGTTGTTCCAGGTGACCTGACGTTGGGGCCCACACTTGAGAACCACGTCCTTCCAGCCGCAACTTAGCACTGAGTCCGTGCACCAGCCTCGCCTGGGAGCTTCTAACAGCGCAGGCCCCAGGCCATTTAAATCAGAATCTTAGGGTGTGGCACCCAGACATGGGTGTTTTTTAAAGCTCCCCATTGACTCCATGTCCAGTCAAGCTTGAGACCTTGGGCACAGAACGTGAACTTGGTCTGGAAGCAATGATGAGCTACGCCAGGGAGTTATTATCTGTGGGTTCTTGAAAGGACACCCGGCTGTCGGTCAATGTTCATTTCATCGCAAGACAATAACATAGAAGTGGTACTTGTCTAGAGTGTTGGTTCTCCAAGTGCGGTCCCTGGACCAGCAGAATCAGCCTCACCTGGCAACTTCTTTTTTTTTTTTTCCTTTATTGAGTCTAGAGAGAGAGGAAGGGAGAGAGAGAGAGAGAACATCGATTGGCTGCCTCCTGCATGCCCCCACGGGGGATCAGGCCCACAACGTGGACATGTGTCCTGACCCAGAATCGAACTGGGACCTCTTGGTGCCTGGGTCCCACCTGATACTCAGCCACTGAGCCACACCTGGCTGGGCCCTGGGAACTTCTCAGATATGCAAATTCTCGGGCTGCCCAGCCCCTATACAGCAGGAACTCCAGGATGGAGCTCAGCGCTCCATTTTTCACAAGCCTTCCGGAAGATTCTGACCCTCCCGACAGCATGAGAACCCCTGGTCTAAACCTGGACAGTCGGGCAGTTGACATTCAATTCAGTATGAGCTGACTTTTGCCACAGTCTAATTAAAAGGCCCTTGAGGAATTTACAGCTTCTTGGCTAAATTCAAGTATTTAAAAAAAAATTTATTTTTCTTCATTGATTTTAGAGAGAGGGGAAGGGAGAAGGAGAGAGAGATAGAAACATCGATGAGAGAACATCTACTGGCCGCCTCCTGCATGCCCCCCACTGGGGATCAGGCCCACAACCTGGGCATGTGCCCTGACCAGGAATCAAACCAGCGACCTCTTGGTGCAGGGTCGACGCTCAACCACTGAGCCACACCGGCCGGGCCAAGTATTTTTTGATCTCCCCATTTTACTGAAATGTTAAAAAATAAAGCAAGAGCCTGAAAATTAAAACTGTCTCAGCTGCCCTGGCTGGTTTGGTTCAGCAGTGGAGCGTCAGCCCATGGACCAAAGAGTCGCAGGTTCAGTTCTGGCCAAGGGCACGTACCTGGGTTGCAGTTGGTCCCCAGCCCTGGTCAGGTCGTGCGGGAGGCAACCAATCGATATATCTCTCTCCTGTCAATATTTCTCTCTCTCTCTCTCTCTCCCCCCTTCTTACTTTATCTGAAGATAAATGGGAAAAAATACTGTTGGGTGAGGATTAAGAAAAAAAACTGTCTCAGAAGGAGACAGTCTAGGGAGGCTAGTCTGACGCCAGAGGGTGGGCTGGTGGAAGGAATAGGTAGAGGACCTTGGTCCCCACTAGGTCACTCGGCCACCTGGCCCTCCCTTTGAACTCTCCCTGTTCTAAGCGGGAGCCCACAGAGCAGCAGCGTCGTGTGAGGCCTGAGCTCCCCAGGGGACTCAGTAAGCAGGGAGAGGGGCCCAGCCGGGGGAGCAGGTGGGCACCCTTCCCAGCACCATCCCTCACTCAAAATCAGGAAAAGAGTCCTATTGAAATTCAGATGAGGAAAAGAAAGGAGTCAGTCTCCTGAGCGGTCAATGCAGATTTGCAATGCTGAGATGCCACATGTCACCGATCAAATGAGCAGAGTTGAGTGGTACGAGCCAACCCAGAATCTTGAACCGGCCACACACCGTGGTCAGTGTGTGTACAGTGTCATCGTTTGGAAAGAGATTCCTCAATCCAAGACGTTCAGACCCTGTCCCGCGAACCCTCTTGCCAGAAGTGAACTGCGGACACTATTTGAAATCAGAGAATGCTCTGTTCTTTATCTTCATCAGGCTTGTTTGAAGGAGCAAGAGATGGGAACCGATCTAAGCATCCAAAGAAGAGAATGACCTAGAAACTATTATACGCAATCAAATATTGAGCTTTAGAGCCATGAATATTATAGATGTTTTCCAAGGCACTGGAAAACTGTAGCTTTTAAAAGTGTGCCAAGCCCTGGCCGGTTTGGCTCAGCGATTAGAGCATCGGCCTACGGTCCAGAGAGACCCGGGTTCGGTTCCCACTAAGGGCACGTACCTCGGTTGCAGTTTGTCCCCGGCCCTGGTTGGTCGTGTGGGTGGCAGCCACTCGATGTGTTTCTTTCACGTCGATGTTTCTCTCTCTCTCTCTCTTCCTCTCTCTCCCTCCCACTCTATCTGAACAAAAAAATGGAAAAATGTCCTTGAGTGAGGATAAAAAGAATTAAAAAATAAAAATTAAAAGTGTGGCCCTGGCTGGTTTGGCTCAGCGGTTGGAGCATCGGCCTGCGGTACAGAGAGACCCGGGTTCAGTTCCCGCTAAGGACACGTACCTCGGTTGCACTTTGTCCCCGGCCCTGGTTGGTCGTGCGGGTGGCAGCCACTTGATGTGTCCCTTCACATCGATGTTTCTCTCTCTCTCTCTCCCTCCCGCTCTATCTGAACAAAAAATGGAAAAATGTCCTCGGGTGAGGATAAAAAAAAAATAAAATAAAAATAAAAGTGTGCCAAGTTAGAAATGCCAAATTAGAAATTTAGAAAATGAGAAATACTAGTTTAGGAAAGATGGCCTCAGCTGTTTTATCAACATACATGTAGATAGGAAAAGATTCTAGAATAAAATATTCCAAGTTATTTTCCTTTTCCTCGATCATTGGTTTCCCACCGAGATATTTACCTCCACTTCGAGATCAGACAGTGCAAACCCATATTTCCAACACGTATTCGTCCAGAGTGTGTACGTGTTCAAACGATTCTGATATTCATTGGATGTAAAAATACACCAAAATAGCCTCAGCCAGTTTGGCTCCGCGGTTAGAGCATCAGCCCTCGGACCAAAGAGTTGCGGGTTCGATTCCCGGTCAAGGGCATGTACCTCGGTTGTGGTTCGATCCCCGGCCCTGGTCACGGTCATGCAGGAGGCAACCAATTGATGAGTCTCTTCCATGTCCGTGTTTCTCCCTCTCTCTCCCCCTCCCTCTCTCTCTAACAGAAAACCAATGGAAAAATATCCTTAGATGAGGATTAAAAGAAATAACTAACTAACTCACTAACTAACTAAATAAATAAATAAACAAATAAGTAAGTAAGTAAGTAAAAACACACCAAAATCTTCCTAATCACTCTGCTTGGTGGTGTTGGTGTTTTATTTTCTCATTTACCTTTTCCTGTATTTTCCTTGTTTTTTAACGTACACGTTTGCTTGTAAAATCGGGGGGGCAGACTGGAAAAGTCTTCGGGGGACTGTCCCCAGGGTATCCTGGAGACCCCGTCCCACCGCCCAGCGTCCACTTGCGGCCGGATGCGCAGGCGGGGAGGGGCCGGGAGACCGTGGGCGTCGGTCCTGGCGGGGCGGCCGGCCCCTGCCCAGCTCTGCCCAGGGCCGGAGCAGCCCGGACTCCGTGAGCAGGGTCTCGTCTCCGCCTCCAGCTCTTCGAAACGAAGAAGAACACGAAGAGCAGGCAGCGCAGAGTCACCATCTACAGCTTCGCGGGCAACCAGAGGAACCGCTGCAGTACCTTCCGCGTGAAGAGGAACCAGACCATCTACTGGCAGGAAGGCCTCCTGGTCACTTTCGACGGGGGCTACCTCAGGTAGGAGCGCCTGCCGGTCCCGGGCGCCTCCGCCGGGGCCTGGCCGCCGGGTCCAGCTCTGCTCCCGAGAGCTGAGCATGCTGGAAAAAGGAGACACGTCCCCCACCCGTGTAGAGGGTCCCCATCTCCTCCCCCCTTCTCTTCTCCCCTCGGAGGGTGTGGTGACAGCCCAGGACTTGAGCGGAGTGGGTGGCCACTGAGCTCTGCACCCGCGTGGTCATTTACGTGGCCCCCTGCCCCCTGCCCTAGACCTGATGCCACTGGTCCTGAGGGAGACATGAGATACCTCCCTAGCTCTGGCCATGTGCTCAGTGGTTAGAGCACCGAGCAAAGGGTCGTGGGTTTGATTCCCGGTCAAGGGCATGTCCCTGCATTGCGGGTTCGATCCCCAGGTCCTGTCAGGGTGCATGCAGGAGACCACCCCAGGGTCCTCCACGGCCAGACCACCACGGCCGCCTTTTTGTCTCTGGGTTGCAGTGTGGAGTCCTCGGACGTGAACTGGAAAAAGAAAAAAAGTGGAGGAATAAAAATCATTTGCCAGTCAGAAATGAGGGACTTCTCCGCGATGGCTTTCATCACAGACCATGTCAACTCCCTGATCGATCAATGGTTTCCCGGTAAGGGAATGTTCTAGAACCCAGTCTACGCTCGTGTTAATCCAGGGGCCCTTGAACAACACGGGTCTGAACTGCGGACGTCCACTTACATGCAAGTTTCTAAAATAAACATCCAGTTGGCCTCCGTGGCCGTGGGATTTGCATCCGTGGATTCAACCAGCAGCGGTGGGATCCGTGGGGGCGGAGGGCTGACAGTCCGCAGTCCGCACCCTTTTCTATCCGGGACATGAGCACCTGCGGATCTGGTACTTGAGGGTCCTGGAACCCACCCCCATGGATATTGAGGGACAACTGTAGACACGTTTTGGGGGAGTCAAAGTTATATTCAGATTTTCAGCGACACGGAAAACTGTATTTTGTTTTGAGGTCAACGGTATTTCTTCGTAAGCCAAGGTAGCTCCTTATTTGGGGAGCAGAAATCCCACTGGTGCGTAGCCCAGGGACATCAGAGGGGTCCTGAGGCCACTCGGGTGGAGCCCTGACCCCGGCAGGAGTCCAGCCTCAGGGTGGGGGGCGGCACTGCAGGGAAGACCCGGGCCCCCCGGCTGCCCAGTGTGCGGGCCGGTCAGTGGCCCTGTGACCACAGACCACACGTGGTCCACAGAGACCCTCCACCTGAGCCTCACATGGTCTGCCACACGGTGGGGACAGTGCTGCTGGAATCTGGGGAGCCCGCAGGTGGAGCCACACCTGCCACGACCCCTGCTCCTTCCCAGCCACCCCCCCACCCCCCGAGTCCTGCAGGGGCTCAGCCATCAGCAGGGCCCTTTGCGAACCCAAAGAAAACACTCTTTGAAGTGCTGTTCCCACACCCTCTGTCTTGCTCCTGGAGCAGAGGCAGACCACAGGGCGGTCTCCAGGGAGGAGGCCCCAGCAAAGCCCAGCGGCCTCGTCCCCGTGAGCCCTCACCCTCTGGAGGCTGGCGGCCCGGCGAGCAGAGATCCGGTCTGGAATCGGAGCACCCACGGGCCTGCCAGCCGGTCCTCCGGCCTCCTGAGCCGGCTTCCGCCCCGGCTCGCCGTCCTGCGTCCCAGGACAGCGCCACATGAGATGCTTAAGGACAATGCTAAGATACCTGCCTGGGTCCTTCGGGTGTTGACGGGCAGGGGACCTACAAGGAAACACTTAGCAAGGGGCCTGAGAGGAGGTAGTTGGGGAGGTGCTTGACCATCCAAGGAGGGCTGCTAGGCCCCATGTGTCTTCCCATCAACCCGTGGTCCTCATAGCAGGTGCTGTGGGGATTTAACCGGGGCTGGGGTTGCGGGGCCGGGGGGGCAGCCCCATTCGGCAGGAGGGATGGCTGAGGGCCTGAGACAGGGCTGCCTGGAGACAGCACCGCCAGCCAGCGTGTAGGATGCTTCACACGGGGGCCTCGGACGGCAGGTGCGCCCGGAGAACCTGGGTCCACCTGGACTTTACACAAAGCAGGCCATCACCTCGGCCCGAGGGAACGTCGCGGGCACCCTCAAGGCTGTTTCTTCCACCTCGTTCAGAGGCGGGCGGAAACGTCGTGTCTCCTGCCCGGGGACCCATGGAACGTACCCGGTTACGGCCCATGTGACTTACACTCGTGTCTCCCTTGCGTTGCTCTTCTACAAAGAACCTTCATCGCAAGCCTTGTGTTTCCAGTTCTAACCACGGCCCCTCACTGGTTGGGATGCTGTCGCTGGAGCCCGGCTCAGACCCAGCCCGCAGGGTCCTGCGAGGGCCAGGCTGCAGGAGGATCCTCCACCTCCCGGCCTCTCTTTGGCCAGCCTGCTCAGGCCTCACCACCCGGCGGCTGTCCAGGGCACCCCTGGCCCCTCCCTGTGTGCCATCCAGGGCTAAGGACCCCGAGTGCAGTAATGAAGGTTTAGCTACTCCCTGGGGGCCAGGAGAGAGCGGACAGACCTCCTGGGAAAGGCTCCCGAGGCTGGGTTTGCAGATGCTGCTTAGGGAGCCCCCCCCCCCCCCGTGGCCACCTTTGTGTGAGCTGTTCCCTGCTGTCCCCGTGCAGCCCTGACAGCCACGGAGAGCGATGGGACCCCGCTCATGGAGCAGTACGTGCCCTGCCCGGTCTGCGAGACGTCGTGGGCCCAGCACGCTGACCCTAGTGAGAAATCAGAGGACGTGCAGTACTTTGACATGGAAGACTGTGTGCTGACGGCCATCGAGCGGGACTTCATCACCTGCCCCAGGCACCCCGACCTCCCCGTGCCCCTCCAGGAGCTGGTCCCCGAGCTGTTCATGACCGACTTCCCGGCCAGGTAGGCCACGACACCGCGCCACACGGTGGCCCCCTCGCGCACACAGCTGCTGTGGCTGCTGCTCCCCACGGTCTCTGGTGACTTGGGCCTGTCCCAGGCTTTCCACGCAAGGCACACAGCCCAGCCGGGCAGAGCGCTGGGAGGGAGAGGCTATTCCGGGCCCCACGTGAGAGCTGGTCCCCCCTCTGAGTCCTGCTGTGCTGCCTGCTCGGGGAATAGAAGTCAAATGCTCCCAGTTATCAAGAAAGGGGGTGCTCTCAGACCTGCAACCTCCCTCTCCTCCCTCGGCAGATGCTGAGTCCCACGGGCTGCTCTCAGCCTGAGCATCACGTCCCCGAAATCTGTTGAGTCTAATCCAAGACCATCACGGGGGGAGGGGAGGCTGCAGAAAACATTCTGTGGTCCCATTAAGCAGGAAACCATCACGGAATTCACGTGCTGCGTACAAGGTGGAATCTTCTGTAGCTGTCGAGCCAGAAGGTGTCATCTGGTCTCCCTGAAGACAGTCGGACATTGTGGTTACTTACCACTCGTTCGGAGTTGTGAAGTCCTGTTATTCTCTCTTTTTGTTTGTTTGTTTTTATTCATCTTCACCTGAGGATGTGTTTCCATTGATTTTTTTTTTTTTTTTTAGGTAGAGTTGAAGGGAGGGAAAGAGAGAGAGCGAGAGAGAGAAACATCGATGTGAGAGAGACACATTGACGGGCTTCCTCCCTCACAGCCGCCGTGGCCAGGACAAACCTCCAACCCAGGCACGTGCCCTTGATCAGGAATTGAACCCGAGACCCTTCGGTCCTCGGCGTGATGCTCTGATCACTGGCCAGGGCTGTTATTTTCTTAGTCAAAGGATTGCTATTCTAGTGAAACATTTTGGAAGAGGGGGAAGGACTATCACATCCTCATTTTTCCAAATTGCTCCCCCGTCCGAAAAAAATAGATGTGAGGCAGTCTGTGATGCTGCAGACTTGGGGTCCCGAAGCCGGCTTCTGGGGGAGTCTATTAGGTTAAGAAACTGCTCCCTACATTGGATAGTTTCTCTCGTCTTCTTCTCAGCATCCGCCCCATGGTGGAGATGCCCCTCAGGCACCTCCCTTCTGCAAAATGATTTCCCTTTGTCCCTAGATCTTTAACACAGGAATGGACGTTTCTCGGAGACCACCTGCAGTCTGCATGTGCAGGAATCAGATCTGGGGGGGAACGGGATCCCGACTAGTCCACGAGTTTTAGATTTTCACGGACTGACTGAACCTGTGTGACCTCAGTGCCCCCGGCGGGTCTGCTGTCTGGAACCTGCGAAGCCAGCTTGCTCTCGCTCTCGGGCTGGCTCTCATGACAGGCCGTCGCGGGGCTCCGGAACCAGGTTGCTGGTCCAGGGGTTGACTAGCCCGGCGACCTGCAGAGGACCCGCAGCCCGGCACAGGCTGTCTGGGAAGGTCCCCGCCGGGGGTCGGGGCAGGTGGCGCCTGTCCCGACTGGCACCGTGTGTCTGCAGGCTCTTCTTGGAGAACAGCAGGCTGGAGCACAGTGAGGACGAGGGCAGCGTGCTGGGCCAAGGCGGCAGCGGCACCATTATCTACCGGGCCCGGTACCGTGGCCAGCCCGTGGCGGTGAAGCGATTTCAGATCAAGAAATTCAAGAACTTCGCCAACGTCCCAGCAGGTAACGGGGCCCTGAGGCCTGTCTCTCAGACATGCGCCCCTCCGCCCACACTCATGCCAACTCGGGGAGGCCTGAGGCCACAGCACATGGCAGGAAGGGGAGGTGGGCCCCCGGGGGCACCTTGTTGGGTGCCTGGCAGGACGTGGGACAGGCCTAAGGGTCAGGCTGAGCGAGGCTGGATTTGCTTTTGGAGGTTACCCTCTTGCCTAGACGTGAGCCCCCAGGAACCTGAGCCATCCTTATTTATTGTTCTCATCTGCTCCGTGCCCAACTAGCCTGGCACGTGGTGGGCACAGAGTCGGACCTGAGGTGGGCCTCGCAGCCTGTGGGAAGGTGGGCGCTCCGGGTGGGCACTGGGAAGCCAGCGTGGGGTCGCTCACCCCCTCCAAGGAGGGGACACTGTTTGGTCACTCTCAGGCCGACACAGTATGTTCCGCCGAAGGATGGTCTCCACCTAAGCAGACCCTTTAATACAGCTCCTTATGTTGTGCTGACCCCCAACTATAAAATTATTTTTGTTGCTACTTCATAACTGTAATTTTGCTACTGGTCGCGACCCCCAGGTTGAGGACCGCTGGTCTAGAGGAACCTGCCACCGTCTAACATCCAGTGCGGGTGCCGGGAGCCCCCTCGCTCCTGACCAGCTGAATGGCACCCTTGTTGTCGCCTCTGACTTACCATGGCCACCTTTATTTATTTATTATTTTTTCTTTATTGATTTTAGACAGCAAGGAAGGGAGAGGGAGAGAGAGATAGAAACATCAATGAGAGAACATGGATTGGCCGCCTCCTGCCTGCCCCCACAACCCGGGCATGTGCCCTGACCGGGAATCGAACCGGCGACCTCTTAGTGCATGGGTCAACGCTCAACCACTGAGCCACACTGGCCGGACTGGCCGCCTTTACGATCCTAATCGTAATTGACCCTCTTGGTAGAAATCCTAGGACTGTGAAATGATAGAACGAAAACAGATCAGAGAAAAAGAGACACAGTTGTAACTTTGTGACGAGAATGTGACTCTCTGCCCAGAAAATCTAAGAGACTGTTGCCAAACAGCAGAGTCAGGACAGGGTCACGAAACGGTGCGTGTCCCTGCAGACACCATGCTGCGGCACCTGCGGGCCACGGACGCCGTGAAGAACTTCTCGGAGTTCCGGCAGGAGGCCAGCATGCTGCACGCCCTGCAGCACCCCTGCATCGTGTCCCTCATCGGCATCAGCATCCACCCCCTCTGCTTCGCCCTGGAGCTCGCCCCGCTCGGCAGCCTCAACACCGTGCTGTCCGAGAACGCCAAAGGTGCTGGTCTCCAGGGACCTCCTGGGGGGCTGGGGACCCCCTCCAGCCTGGCCTGGCTCTGCGGGGCGGGCCGCCTCCCTGTGGGGGATGAAAAGCCCTTCCCCCAGTCTAGCCTTATGCACTGGTGTCCGCAAGGTGGGGGAGCTCACGCTTTGGAGTCAGAGAGGAGCAGGTTCAAGTCCCGGTTGTCAGCCATAATCTAGAAAGTTGCTCAACTTGCTCACCTATAAATGGAGAAGGAGCAGAGCCCCGCTGGGGGGACATCAGATGAGGCAGCTGAGAGACCCGAGCAGCAGCCTGGTGCCCATAAGCTTCCCAGCCAAGGAAATCTCTCCCTTGTGGGTGACAAACCACACGTGTTCACCATTGTTAAAATCTGAGACCCTGGGGTCATTTTTAGCCTAGCTTTTTTTAATCCTCACCCAAGGACATTTTTCCATTTTTTGTTCAGATAGAGTGGGAGGGAGAGAGAGGAAGAGAGAGAGAGGGAAACATCGACGTGAAAGGGACACATCGAGTGGCTGCCTCCCGCACGACCAACCAGGGCCGGGGACAAACTGCAACCGAGGTACATGCCCTTAGCGGGAACCGAACCCGGGTCTCTCTGGACCGCAGGCTAATGCTCCAACCGCTGAGCCAAACTGGCCAGGGCCCTAGCTTTTTTCATTGTTAAGCCTCATTCAAGGATATTTTTTCCATTGATTCTTAGAGAGAGTGGAAGGGATGGGGGGGTGGAAAGAGAAACATGGATGTGAGAGAGACACATTGATTGGTTGCCTCCCACATGCGCCCCGACCGGGGAGTGAACCTGCAACCCCGGTACATGCCCTTGATGGGGAATTGAACCTGTGACCTTTTTTTAAAAAAATATTTTTTTCTTTATTGATTTTAGAGAGGAAGGGAGAGGTACAGAGAGATAGAAACATCGATGAGAGAGAACATCAATTGGCCGCCTCCTGCATGTCCCCCACTGGGGATTAGGCCCACAACCTGGGCATGTGTCCTGACCAGGAATTGAACTGGCGACTTCTTAGTGCACGGGTCAACGCTCAACCACTGAACCACACCAGCCGGGCTTGAACCTGTGACTTTTTGGTATGCAGACTGACGCTCTAACCACTGAGCACACCGGCCTGGGCAATCCTATCTTACATTGTTAATGAAATTTTAAAATATATTACCTTGAAAAATGGATCACTAAATTTCAAAGAGCTGACAGAGGGAGACAGGTAGCTAGCTGTCTTTTGATCAGGAAAAGACATGCAGTTAAAAATTAATTATTTTGCCCTGGCTGGTTTGGCTCAGCGATTGGAGTGTCGGCCCGCGGACCAGAGAGTCTCGGGTTCGGTTCCCGCTAAAGGCACGGACCTCGGTTACAGTTTGTCCCTGGCCCTGGTTGGGATTGTGTGGGTGGCAAACACTCAATGTGTCTCTCTTACATCGATGTTTCTCTCTCTTCCTCCCTCTCTCCCTCCCGCTCTATCAGAAGACAAATACAAAAATGTCCTTGGGTGAGGACAAAAAAAAGATAAAAAATTAATTGTTTCTCCCTCGATGAAAAGGCTTTTGTAAAAAAAAAAAAAAGAAGTGCTTATACCTACAGTTTGCCCCTTGACAGTAACAACCTTGGCCTGAGATGAACTCTTGGGATTTTGAATATTTGCTCTTTTAGTAGAAACACAAATTCCAGGCCAGGGATGCCGTGAATGAAACCATAATGACAGGCATCTCTGTCCCAAATAATACTTTGCTTAAGAAGGTCCTTCTGGCCCTGGCCGGTTTGGCTCAGCGGTTGGAGCATTGGCCTGCGGTCCAGAGAGACCCGGGTTCGGTTCCCGCTGGGGGCACGTACCTCGGTTGCAGTTTGTCCCCGGCCCTGGTTGGGTCGTGTGGGTGGCAGCCGCTCGATGTGTCCCTTTCACATCGATGTTTCTCTCTCTCTCTCTCTCTCCCTCCTACTTTATCTGAACAAAATATCAAAGAATGTCCTGTGTGAGGATAAAAAAAAAAATTAATTAAATTTAAAAAAAAAAAAAGGTCCTTCTGCATCTCTCGGGCCCCCAGCGTGGAAGTGACGAGAGCATGTGAGTGGAATAGGAAGTATTTGGGGAGACAGAAGGTAAGAACAGAGCACAGGTGTTATAATGATAGTCTGATGTTTTTCTTTGCAAAGGTTCTTCCTTCATGCCCCTGGGCCACATGCTCACCCAGAAGGTCGCCTACCAGATCGCCTGTGGCCTGGCCTACCTGCACAAGAAGAACATCATCTTCTGCGACCTGAAGTCCGACAACATTCTGGTCTGGTCCCTGGACGTCAAGGAGCATGTCAACATCAAGCTGTCGGACTACGGCATCTCGAGACAGTCTTTCCATGAGGGCGCCCTGGGCGTGGAGGGCACCCCTGGCTACCAGGCCCCGGAGATCAGGCCTCGCATCGTGTACGATGAGAAGGTACCCCCACAGCCCACGCCGTCCCCTGCCCAGCCCCGTGGCCGGCCCGCCCCGCCGTCCTAGCAGCACCTGTAGCTCTGAGCTCCATGCCCCGCCCCCAAGCGGATAGGCTCTTGACCTTCTGCTTCAAGAATGACCTAAGCGCGTGAGTGTTTAACTCGGCACTTGTGGCTGTGAACCAAAATAGAAAAGGCAAATCAGAGTAACAAAAATAAGAGCCTCTCGGGAGCAGGTGACACAGACCAGGCACCTTGAAACGGAGGTTCTAACAGGAGCCTCCACAGTGAAAAGTCACAGGTCCCTCTCAGCCCTTCTTGACTCTTGCGGATGCCTGTGTAGCTCGCTCTTTGCTGGGCCTCTCTGTGACATTGAAATGAGAGGAGTCGAATGTGGTGATCTAGGGGACATTGTCCTCTCTCTGGTTTGCATACACTGTTCCTCTGGCACCGAGCACGTTAAGGTGAGGGTCTGTGTTTTCCTGCCCTGTCTTCACACTCAAGGGTAAGGACCGTGCATCCTTGGAGCCACTAACCACAGCCTGGCAGTCAGCGGGTCTCACTGGGTGTTTGATGGATGGGTGGGCAGATGGACGGGTGGGTAGATAGGTGGATGGATGGATGATGGGTGGATAGATGGACAGATGGATGATGGGTGGGTGGCTGGCTGGCTGGATGGATGGGTGGATGGATGGATGGGTAGGCAGGTGGATGGATAAATAAATGTGCATAAGGTGGGTGGAAGGAAGGATGGACAGACTGGAAGATGGATGCAGAGAGAGACAGAATGATCGATGGTCAGGTGGCTCTTTGGATGTTCGGACAGGTGGAGAGAGAGGGCTGGATTGGTGGATGGATTAAGGAACGCCTCCCTTGTCTCTTGGTGTCTCCCTGCTCCGTGCATGTCAGGGCCAGCTTCCAGAAGCTGCTGGGCCCGGCAGGGACCTGACCTGGCTTGCCTCTCTGCCCAGGTAGACATGTTCTCCTACGGAATGGTGCTGTACGAGCTGCTGTCCGGACAGCGGCCTGCGCTGGGCCACCACCAGCTTCAGATTGCCAAGAAGCTGTCCAAGGGCATCCGCCCGGTGCTGGGGCAGCCGGAGGAAGTCCAGTTCCATCGACTGCAGGCGCTCATGATAGAGTGCTGGGACACAAAGCCCGAGAAGGTACCTGGGGACACAGGGCCGAGCCTGGCACCTCCAGCCACTGTGGCAGAGGCTGCCTACCCGCCCTTCACAAAGGGTCGAGGACAAATGGGGCAGCTCTCCCCTGCACACCTCTTCTGGCAAACGGTGTTTACTGCTCCCAATACATTCAGATCATTGTTTGTGTGTGTGTGTCACTCTCAGGATAAGTGAACTTCCTCCCCCCACAACTTGCATGTTACATCATGCAAACAAAGCCTCCCCTTAGAGCAGCACAGCCCCACGCAGGCGCGGAGAACATAGGTGTCTCTGTAAAGCGATGGAGAGATGCTTTGCTCATGAGAAACAGGGGCCACGGTATCATTTTAAAGCCAGTTTTTCTCAGAAAGACCAGTGACTTCGAGGTTAAAACTCGTCGATCACTCTGGATGGTGCTAGCGTAATGTGTTGGTAGTGAATGAGGTCTGAGAACACTTCTTTACAGGATTGGACACTCCCTGGGGATGGGGGTTGGAAGATCAGAGTTGAAACCGATCTGATCACCTGGGTGCTAGTTGCCGTGCACAGTGATGACCCAGACACCTGGGGGTCTGTTTCTGGTGTCTGTTGCGGTCTTGTGTTCCAGTGGGATCCTGAATGAACGGATCCTATCCTTCCTTCCTGGTTCAAGATCGTTGGTATCGTGGGCAGAATGGGCATCAGTGTGGTTAGAAGTGACCCCACTCACAGCCCTGGTGGCCTCTCTCCCTCAGCGACCGCTGGCCCTGTCGGTGGTGAGCCAAATGAAGGACCCGACCTTCGCGACCTTCATGTACCAGCTGCCCTGTGGGAAGCAGACGTCCTTCTTCTCGTCGCAGAGTCAGGAATACACGGTGGTGTTCTGGGATGGGAAAGAAGAGTCCAGGTGACGTCCCCAGGCTTTCTGCGCCCTGCTGGCATCAGAGTGGGGGGCGACCTGGAATTGGGGGGCAGTCGGGGATGACCATACTGAGAGACGTTCAGTGCATAGGGTTGGAAGCCTGGCGGAGTCCCCACAGGAGAGAAAACTGCCCGGCTGGTGTGACTCGGTTGGAGCATCATCTCATGCACCGAAAGGTCGCCGATTCGATTCCCGGTCGGGGCACATGCGGGAGGCAGCCGATCGATGTTTCTCTCTCACATCAATGTTTTTCTCTCTCTCTCTGCCTCTCCCTTCCTCTTGCTCTAAAAAATCAATACAAACGTATTTTGTTTTATTTATTTATTCTTTAAAATCCTCACCCAAGGATATTTTTCCATTTGTCTTCAGATAGAGTGGGAGGGAGGGAGAGAGACAGAGACAGAGGGAGAGAGAGAGAGAGAGAGAGAGAGAGAGAGAGAGAGAGAAACATCGACGGAAGAGGGACACATCGACTGGCTGCCTCCTGCATGACCCTGACCAGGGCCGGGGACCAAACCGCAGCTGAGCCATGTGCCCATGATGGAACCTGCAACTCTTTGGTCTATGGGCTGACGCTCTAACCGCTGAGCCACACCAGCCAGAGCCAGTACAGACATATTTTAAAAAGAGAGAGGAAACCAAGCCCCCACATATAGACGTGCAGAAATGGGTCTGTGATTAAGAGAAGCAAAGAAGAGGTGGCATCTGCTGGGGGCGGGGAGGGCAGGGGTCAAGGGAGGGTTTTGTTTTAAGACGGGAGCTATTTTTAGCTTGATGGTGGAGTCAGTGATTCTGGGGACTGAGGAGAGAGGACAGTTAGTGGCTGAGTGGTGAGAGAGGAAGGGGGGGCATCTTTCTTCTCAATGGGGATGGCTTTTCTCTGCCTGAATGTTCAAGCATTCCCAGGCCAGCAGACTCGGGCTCTGCCCCAGAACACGACACAATTCAGCCCTGGCTCGAAGGGGCGGACAAGGCCACGCTGCTGCACCTGTTCCCAGGTGGCGGCAGGCCAGGCGGGGACGAGGGCGGCGGCCCCTGGCCCCTGAGCTGAGCGCACTGTCGCTGCCCCCTGTAGGAACTACACGGTGGTGAACACGGAGAAGGGCCTTCTGGAGGTGCAGCGGATGGGCTGCGCAGGGATGCGGCCGAGCTGCCAGCTCAAAGTGCAGAGCTCGCTGTGGATGGCCACCGAGGTAACCACCTGCCCGCGCTCGTCGAGGTGGGAGCCAGAGCGAACGACCGAAAACACAGGCCGCTGGGAACCTTTGAATTCGCCATGACCCTGGTTTCCACCTGTGAGACCCCCAGCCACGCCCGCAGCCCTGTGACCCAGCAGTGTCCCGCCTGCCTTGTGCACAGCTGGTGACTGGGACTCAGCCACGACAAGGGTCAGGGACAGAGCCCTAGCCAGAGAACCCCAGGAGCCCCGTAGTGTGGCGACCTGACTCGGTTTTCTAGAACATCCCCAGGTCTACACAGCAAATCCACTCAGCTCTAAGGCCTGGTGCCTTCACATAAAAGTCTGCGGAAGGCCCAGGTGGCTGTCTTCTGAGAAACCCAGAGGGGAATGCCCCCAAATATGTGTTCTGAAATGGGGTGGGGGTCAATTCGTGCAGCCCTCAGAGAGGGGTTGGGATGCGTGGTTCAGAAATGCATCCGAAATCCCTTCACACCACAGGAGCCGCAATCATTCTGCTTTAAGAATTTGTTCTAAGAAAATAACCAACACACACACACGCACGCACGTATCTGTAAGAATGCTCATCCCAGTAGAATTCACAGTAGTGAAGACTAGGGAACAGACTCAGCATCTGACAACGGGCGAACCAAATTGTGGTGCACCTGAGTGTAGGCAGTAAAGAGACCTCACTCTGCCCCCCGTTGACGACTAGACAGGTCCTCTGTCTGGAGTAGGTATCGTCACCGGAGTAGGAGGTGTAATACCAGCAGGAACGGGGACAAACACATACAAGTACCCGCAGAAACTGAACATCTGTGCCTCAGACCCTAAAGGTCATCTTCTCTGGGTGACAGATTATGGGGAATCTCACTTTCCCTCTTTAGACAATCCTGTCATTTTCAAAGTTTCTGCAAAGAACAGAAATTTGAAAACCATCAACCAGAAAGATCCATGGGTGTTCCTGAGCCCCAGAGGGGTTTCAGGACCGAGCGGGCCTGTGGGAAACAGTCTCTGCCCAGTCTGACCGGCTTCTCTGCCCCCAGGACCAGAAGATCTCCATCTACAGCCTCAAGGGCATGTGCCCCTTAAACACGCCCCAGCGGGCCTTGGACACCCCGGCTGTCGTCACCTGCTTTCTCGCGGTGCCTGTTTTAAAAAAGGTGAGGTATGGGGAAAGGGGGTGCGCAGGTAGCTGACTCTCCCTTCCTTTGGGGGTGAGGAGCATAGCCACACCCTCTCGGACCCCACGCCCGGTCACTGTCAGCCTGAGGGACCCAGGAGAGCTGGGCCGCTGTAACCGCCCTTCCTGCGTGGGGGAACCCGCGTGACCGGTAAGGCTGCAGGCTCAGCGGGGAGCTTGTGGTCCTCGTGCAAACTCCACAGCCCGGATTGGGTGAGATGGCAGATGTCCCATGAGCTCTTCACCTCTGACAGTCGCGACCTCAGGATCCTGGGCCAGCACCTCCCCATGGCCCTGGCAGGCCCTGTCCCCACCCGTCAGTCCCAGACCTGGGTCCCTCTTTGTCCAGTATGGCCTCAACCTTGCACCCCTGCCTTTCTCAAATGAACCCCAAGTGGTGCTCTCCCCAGCCCAGGCCCCAAGCCGTTCCTTCGATCAGACTCGGGCACTTCTGCGTGGCCGGTCAGGCTCCCCGCAGCTGGGCCCCTTGTACCCCAACCCGCCCAGCACCACACTCTGAGGGGCCTTTTCCGCCAGGAATTCTGCCTGCACACACCTCTCCTGACTACTTCCTGTTCAGTTTTCAAGGTCAAGGTCAGGGCCCCAGCTCAGAGAAGCCCCCACCCTCACTCCAGACCCTCAGCAACATTGTCGGGTTTCTCAGGCCTCGGGGATCCAGGCCCCGCCCCCTTTGTCTGCCCCGAGGCCCCTGCTCGAGGCTCCCCCGTCAGAGGAAGCCGCCAGGGGTCGTTACTGGTGTTGCTTGGTTAAAACGCGTCGCCCGGTTTCAGTTTCCCCATCTGTAAAATGGGGATGCACAGAGCCCATGAAAAGAACCACTGGGTATTCCATACCCAAACTCCAGGCCGTGGTGCTGGGCGAACACCAACTTCTCATCACTTCCCGAGGGTCCCGAAATACATGTGCTCTTCTCTCCACCCTACCACAGTTTCATCTCTTTAAAAAAAGTCTGAAATCAACCTCAGAGTCATTTATGACTGTGGCCCCACGGGTGAGGCTGGGCAGCTCGGGGCTCGGTCTGCACCAGGGCGCAGGAGAACATGACACAAAGCGTCATTTAAGGCTGCTGCTGGCCGGGGCCCCCGAGCCAGGGCACCACCGGCCGCACGACCAGGAGGAATAAAGCCGGCTCTGTGCGGGCCTCCCTGCCCGGGTACCTGCCCTGAGCGCCGGAGCAGACCCCTGCATGTCTGCACGCGCGCATTCACACCCCGCGGGACGTGGAAGGGCTCACTGCCCTGGCTGGGCTGAGCCGGACCCGATAGAGACTGGGCTCCTGTTTGTTTTGGCTGCTTTCTTCCCGGAACCTGAAGGTGGATTTCCACAGCCCGGCTCAGTGCGCACTGACCTTGTTCTTGCGCTAGAGGCTGCCTCGGTCTCCCCTGGACAGCTCACCCTCCCGAGTTCCCCCAGCTCCCAACAGGGGGCTTTCGGCCGCTCCCCCTGCTCTGTTCTGGCTCCAGCTCTGTTCCCCTGAACTCTTCCCTCCCCAAACCCAGCCCCACCAGGGCAGCCACGCTGAGGCGCTGTGCCCTGTTCCCCGCTTCGCATCCATGATCATGCTCGGGAGGCCCTGGTGGGCCGGCATGCAGCCTAGTGGCTGCAGCTTTGGCCTCTTTGCGGCGACCTCTAGTGGCTGTAGGAGAGTGCATGCTTCGGTGTGGGGGTGGGGGCACCCCAAGGACAATCAGTATCAGCTGGACCACAGGCATTTCCAGAGCAGATGTGGGGAGCTGGGAATGTGGGCGCAGGCTCCACGAGAGGCCTGAGTTGGAAGTAGTGTTTGCAGAGTTAGCTCAGCAGGCACGTGTTTTCTCCCGGAGGAGAAAATCCGGCGGGGACTCAGCCCTCCCGGAGGTCAGCAGGGGTGCGGCTTCTTCGGGGCCTGGCAGCCTCCCCCTCTTCAGGAGCCTTGCTCCTCTTCTCCCAGCAGAACTCCTACCTGGTGCTGGCGGGCCTGGCCGACGGGCTGGTGGCGGTGTTCCCGGTGGTGCGGGGAGCCCCAGACGACAGCTGCTCCTACCTCTGCTCACACACGGCCAACAGGTCCAAGTTCAACATCCCGGACGAAGACGTGCGGCAGAACCCCTACCCCGTGAAGGCCATGGAGATCGTCAACAGTGGGTCGGAGGTGTGGTACAGCAACGGCCCAGGCCTCCTGGTCATCAACTGTGCCACCCTGGACATCAGCAGGCGGCTGGAGCCCTACGCGGCCCCGTCGGTGGTCACCTCGGTCGTGTGCAGCTCGGAGTGCAAGGGCGAGGAGGTGGTCTGGTGCCTGGACAACTGGACCAACTCCTTGGTGATGTACCATTCGGCCACGTACCAGCTGTGTGCCCGGTACTTCTGCGGGGACCCCAACCCTCTTAGGGACATGTTTCCTGTGCACCTGTCGGGCCTAGAGCCGCCGGACAGCCACACGGCCAGCCCGAAAGAGCCCGAGGCAGACTCCATCACGGACGTGAGCATCATGTACAGCAAGGAGCTGGGCACGCAGATCCTGACGCACCAGGACTCGCTGACCGACTACTGCTCCATGTCCTCCTGCTCTTCGTCCCCGCCCCACCGGGCCCCCCTGTCCTCCAGCCTGCCCTGCTCCCCGGCAAGCTCCTCCAGCGTGCCCTTCTCCACCGACGGCGAGGACTCGGACCGGCTGCTGGAGCCCACAGCCGGCTCCGACAGGTCGGAGCACGAGCTGACCCCCGTGGACGGGGAGGCTTTCAACCAGCACCTGCAGGCCGTGAAGGTCCTCGCGGTGAAGGACGTCATCTGGGTCCCCAGGTAGGTCCCAGCGGGGGCACCATCTTGCAGGTGCTCATGGCTCTTCCTTTGGGGCCGGAGCGAAGGAACCTTGGAGACACTGTTACCGTCCATCAGGAGTGGCCGTTCTGCTCCCAGACCGGGAGGGATCTCTCAGCAGCGCCGACAAGGTTACCCTGAGGCGCATCCGCCAACAGAGCCGAGGGCGCGGCGGTCAGGCGCGATCGGGTTTCCCGCTGGGGGGTGCTGGCCGGCCGGGCTCGGCGCCCTCTGCCACTCGGTCCATTAGCGGCACCCGCGCGTTTGTTGCCCTGCCGGTCTGCATGCCAACGCCATTTCCCCCGGAGAGCACCCCTGACAAAGCGCTTCCCCTTCTCGGTTCTGGTTTCGCAGGCGTGGCGGAGATGTTATCATCATCGGCCTGGAGAGGGATGCAGGCGCCCAGCGGGGCCGAGTCATCGCCGTCCTGAAGGCCCGAGAGCTGACTCCGTGGGGGTAAGACGGGGGACAGCTCTCAGGACCCACGCGGTGGCACGGGAAGGCGGGCCCCTTCTTTGTCCCTGCACGGGGGCGTCCGTCCACATGGCCACAGGCACAACAGGAGCAGGGTGAGGTGGTCCGGGCAGCTCCTAGATCAGCAGACACCAGCTGGCCCCAGACGCCTGTTTCTGGGGAACCCATTGCACTGGTGGCCAAGTGCCCCGCCTGCGGTACGTCACCCAAGTACAGGTGCCATTGAAATGGAGATCCAGGTAGCTCACTGTCTTTCCCACCAAGCGGGAGAGCCCTTACCAAGGTGGCCCACCTGCCCAGAGAGCACCACGTGGGGCTCGGTGCCCATCTGCTGGGAGCTCCCACCAGACAGGACACTGTCCGGACCCAGTCTGCCTGGCCGTGGAGGTGGGGAGCTGGCACCGGCGGTGTCCCCACAGTTTGACGGGCAGGCAGCATTGTTCGCACCCTCACTTTGTCTCTTGAATCTCCCTTATGGGGAACCTCATTTGGCCTGTCCCCCAGAGCAGGCGCTGACCAAGGAAATGCCCATGGCAGCTGCCCGCCCCTGCCCCCGGTGTCCAGCTCTCTCAGGGAGTCACGAGGGCCAGTGGCCTTGCCCCACGAGGGATTCCAGAAATAAGTTCTGGGTTTGTTGCAGCGTGAGCCCTGCTGAGCGTGGGCTGCAGCTTTGCCCGAGGTCCTTCCTGGGTCACAGGCAGGCTCCTGGGGAAGAGGTTGGTCTGTCCACCCAGGGTGGCTGACCTCAGAGAGCCTGCTGTCATGGTCCCTCCGTTTTCCCCACTTATCCCCCAAAAGTAGGCTTACCAAGAGCCAGGCACATTCCCTGACCGAGAGCCAAACGGCGGGCCATAGCCTGAGCCCACTGCCGTGTTTCCTGAGGTGTGGAAACTTGAAGGAAAAAGAATCACACGTGAGGCAGGGCACTGAGTTAAAGTCAAAATCTGTCACCCTGGCCGGTTTGGCTCTGCGGTTAGAGCGTCAGCCTGAGGACTGAAGAGTCTCAGGTTCGAGTCTGGTCAAGGGCACCTGCCTGGGTTGCAGGTTTAATCCCCAGCCCTGATTGTGGGAGGCAACCAATCAATGTGTCTCTCTCACATCGAGGTTTCTCTCTCTCCCTTCCTCCTCCTCTTCCACTCTCTCTAAAAATCAATGGAAAGATATCCTCAGGTGAGGATTTATTTTTATTTATTTATTTTTTATCCTCACCTGAGGATATTTTTGCATTTGTCTTCAGATAGAGTGGGAGGGCGAGAGGGAGGAAGAGAGAGAGAGACACATAGACGTAAGAGAGACACATCGAGTGGCTGCCACCCACACGACCCCAACCAGGGCCGGGGACAAACTGCAACCAAGGGACGTGCCCTTAGCAGGAACCGAATCCGGGACTCTCTGGTCCGCAGGCCGATGCTCTAACCGCTGAGCCAAACCAGCCAGGGCAACCTCGGGTGAGGATTTAAAAAAAAAAAATCAAAATCCATCGTGGGCCACTGACGAGCAGGAAGTAGAGTGGGTGGTGTTTTCCGGACACCTTGGGGTCCGAGACACATCACCCAGGGTGGTTTCAGTGCCCTTCCACGGAGTCTGTCCCTCACAGACAGTCCTTGTGATCTGAGCTAATGCCCTGGGCCCTGTAGGTGAGCTGCTGCCCACAGATCGGACCACAGGGAGGGCAGGGCCCCTTAGCCACGCTCTGCCCTCCTGAGAAGGTGCAGGCAGAGGTCCAGCCCCGACCCCGGGGGGACCCCTGCAGGTCATCTCAGACCCCTCTCTCCCCCTGCAGGGTACTCGTGGATTCGGCTGTGGTGGCAAAGGACACGGTTGTGTGTGGTTTTGAGAATGAGAACACGGAATGGTGCCTGGCTGTGTGGAGGGGCTGGGGCACCCGGGAGTTTGACATTTTCTACCAGTCCTACGAGGAGCTGGGCCGGCTGGAGGCTTGCACGCGGAAGAGGAGGTGATCCCCGTGGACTGACTGTCACTTGGACCTGGCGGGCCCAGGCCAGTGGCTGACCCTTCCGCCAGCAGCCCTCAGCCCCCGGAGGACCAAGAAAGGAGCTGGGCTCTCCATGAACCACTTGCTGCTAAGACGTGCTGAGAGGTCCCCGCCCTGGCGGTGGTTTCGGGGTTCCCTGGTTCGCCAGGGCAGTTCCCTAGACCCCCCCCCTTGCTGGTTTTTCAGCCCAGAGCACGATGCTGGGGTCTGGATGAGAGCAACTCCCCCTGCCTCCTCTCTCCACTTCCAGGAGCAGAGGAGGGGGGCCTGTTCTGGGCTGGGACACAAAGGAGGGGGGCTGGGCCTTCCCAGCACACAGGGCTTGCCCATTTTCCTCCCCAGGTCTGGGATGGAATTACACTAGTCCTCTCAGTTGGAGAGCAGTTCGGGGCAGAGTGGGAGGAGGGCGCGACCCCTGCCCCTTCCCCTGGTGGCCCCCGGGTTCTCAGCACATTTCACAAGCTCCGGCGTCCCCGGGGCCTGGGGCCCTGCTCGGGAAAGCTGAGATCATATGTCTCCCGCTCAGCTCGGGAAAGTCTCTGTGTGAGAAACCCCCAGAAGGACCCTCCGGGAGGAACATTGCCCAATCTGGGGAATGAATGAGTTCCTTCAAGCGAGCTAGCCCAGGGCTGCCCGTTCTTCACCTTCTGCGCCGACAAAAGGAAGGAGACAGTCAGCAGGGCTGAGAAAGGGCCTGTGTTTACGGCTTCGTCGAATAAACTGGGGATACAGCTGGGGCACAAGTCCTGTTTGTTTGCACATCATAATCTTGTTTATCACTTTCACAAATTAAGGGATAGCACAGCAGGGAGGCCTCTGGTTGTGAAATTATAGACTATGGGGCTTATAGCAAATGGTGTGTTTGCTAAACGTTGACTCCACACAAGTACAGCCGAGCAGAGTAAAAGGGGAACCGTCAGCGGGGGTGTCGGGGCGCAACAGCGAGAATGCGTATAGGTTGTGCACACGTACACACGCACCTGTGCACGTGGTTTCCGAGAGTAACCAGCTGAGGCCGCTTCACCCAGAACAGCAGCGTGAATGTGCATGGTGGACCTTTGTCCAAAATTAAGTTATAAGAATAAAAACTGAAGATTTGCTGGGGTGTGCGGGCTAATGGGACTCCTTTTATCAGAAAATAAACAGACTCTCCGGAATGAGGTCATGGTCTCCATCTGCACAGCACTTAGAATAACACGCACGCCCCTCCCGCGCGGACCCACTCCCTGCCCCGGCGAGCGGTTTGGCCCCTGCCAGCTGCCCCCTAGCAGTTTCCGGGACAGAAACAGCCAATCTGTCCGCGTTCCCACTTCCTCTTACTGGCCTGGGCACGGTGTCCCAGGGTGACCGAGGATCTGTGCGTCCACTCTCATCACCACTGTTCTTCCGCCCTGGTCCCTCAGCGGGGCCTCGGGGTGACCGCTCCCCACATCCCTGCAGCCACGTTGTCATGCCAACAGGGCCCTCACAGTCCTGTCCCCGCCCACCTTTCCGACCTGGCTTCCTCCTGTCCCTGTCCCTTACCCTAACCCTAACCCCCCAAGGCCTCACACAGCCGACTTGGGGAAGGACTTCATCACGGAAGTTAGAACCCATACAGGAAATGGCTAATGAACTTGACTATGAACATTAGCAACATGAATGAGGAAATGATCTCAAAGTCAAAAAATAGTCAGCTCTGGCCCTGGCTCAGCGGTTAGAGCGTCGGCCTGCGGTCCGGAGAGACCCGCATCTCTGGCCGGTGTTGCTCAGTGGTGAGACCACCAGCCGTGGATGGAAGGGTTGCAGATATGATTCCCGGTCAAGGACATGTACCCGGGTTGCAGGTTTGATCCCCAGTCCCAGTCAGGGCACATGGGGGAGGCAAGCAATCGATGTGTCTCTCTCACATGGATGTTTCTCTATCTCTTGGTCTCTCTCTCTCCCTCCCTCCCTCCCTCCCATCCTTTCTCTGTAAAAAAAAAAAAAAAAAAAAAGCCCTGGCTGGTTTGGCTCAGCGGTTGGAGCGTCCACCTGTGGTCCGGAGAGACCCGGGTTCGGTTCCCGCTAAGGGTATATACCTCGGTTGCAGTTTGTCCCCGGCCCTGGTTGGTCGTGCGGGTGGCAGCCACTCGATGTGTCCCTTTCACATCGATGTTTCTCTCTCTCCCTCTTCCTCTCTCTCCCTCCCACTCTATCTGTACAAAAAATGGAAAAATGTCTTCGGGTGAGGATAAAAAAAAAAAAAAAAATGAAAAAAAAAAAATCCTCAGGTGAGGATTTTTTTTAAAAAATGGATAGTCAGCTGGGGAAAAAATAGAAAGACAACCCGAAGGAAAGCAGACAGACCTGAACCAGCAGCCGACAAAGACGGGGCCATCAAAACCAATGCTCAGCATCACCCAGGGAGGAAGACGGTCGTGCAAACAGCAATAAATGGCCACCGAATGCCTTCATGCTGGCAAACATTGGCCAGTATTTCTTGAACACCTGCTCGGTGTCAGGCACTGCCCTGGGATACTGACGAGCTAACAGACAAACTGCTTTCCAGAGCTCCTTTCTAATGCCGGGAGATGACAGCGTCACAGCGAGGTCGTGGAGCTAGATCTTGACATCAGGAAGTTGGCAGCTAATGACCGGGGGCTGCTACGTGCAGCTGAGGCTGGGCAGGCCTGCAGGGGGAGGGGCCTGTTTGCAAGTCCAGGGCCAGGACGTCCTCCCTGCCCCCCACGTGCACCCGCACCCAGGAGAAACCAACGACTCTGTTCCTGTGAAAACAGCCCAACTTGATAAACGAACCACTCCTGCTTTTAGTGTTGAAATCTCAGGGAGACTGTCGCTGGCCCTGTCCCTGAGAGCGTGGCTCAGTCAGGTGTAGCCCACACGCCACAGACGAGAGCCGGTGTGTAGCATGAGGAGACAGCAGGATGTTCGAGTCCCGTCTAGGACCACTGCTCTAACACATGGCACGGGAAACACACGTCCACTTGGCCCTCAGTGGTCTGTGGCACCCTCGGGCCGTCACCAGGGCCCCCACGCTGCGGGCCTGTGCTTGTCACTCACACTCATGGGCACACACACACCTCTGCTCCTGTTGGCACGACCAGGGCCAAGGGCTGTGACTGGCGGGAGAGTCCGTCTGTCCTGTCCACTTCCAGGGAGGAGACGTGACTCTGAGGGGTGGCCCTGGGCAAGCTCCCCTTCGGCTCCTGCACACGCTGTCCCTGTCGCCAGGGCCAGAGCAGAGGGCCATTTCCCCAGGCAACAGGGAGGAATTTCACTTGCTCAAAGCTGGGCTGGCCACAGACAAAATCAGAGGGGACACGCCCCTCCCCATCCCCGCTGGTCCTCGGGAAGGGATTGCATCCAGGCCAGGGCCAGGCTGGAAGACCTACATGTCAAAGGGAGACACGAGGGTGGACCCCGAGCTGGGGATGTGGAAGTTGGGGTGCAGAAGATTCCTCGGCACCCAGGAAATGTGGCACTCCTCAGTGTGGCTCCTAGAAAGCCAGTCCACCCAGCCTTCATGGCCCCAGACCGTGATGGTGGTCTCCTTGGTTAAGGCCTGCCTCTCCCATAGTGGACAAAGGCCTTGGCCAACCATAGTGGCCGGCAGCTAAAGGCTTGGCCAAAAAGACTTACTGTTTCCGAAAATACAAGATCTCTCCCTGGAGTCCAGGAGAGAAGGGGGATGGATCCCGGCGTCTCCACTCCTAATTCTGACAGCCGCCACCCCGTGCCTCGCCCCCCAATTTCACCAGGCTCTCGGGAGCAGTTCCCGCACCCGCGGCCAGGGGGCTCCCCTGCCCTCCTGCCTGCCTGGCCCAGCCCGGCCCAGACCAGGGGGAAGTGGATGCCCCTGGGCTCCTGGCCCTCTGCGCAGTTTGTGGGCTTGATGAGTTTACTTTCCCAAGTATCCCAAGTAGGATCACATCTGGGGAGGAAGGGCCTTGTGGCCGGGTGTGGACGTATGCAAACACTGGTTTCCACACTGCTGGGCAGCAGCGGCCCCAAGGAGCCGAGGCAGGGCTGGTGGCGGAAGGCCGGTCCAGAGCTGGTCTGCTCAGTGCTTCTGATCCTGATAGGTGACTGGAGACTCCAGTCACGGGACACAACAGCCACCGAGCCCGCACAGGGGCCGAGAGCAAACCACCATCCCGTGGAGGGAACTCAGAACCTTCCTCCTGCCCTCGACTCCTGGCTTGGGGTCAGCCCTCCTCCCCTTGGCTACTCTGACGGCTCAGGGCGGGTGGAAGAGAGTGTCCAGCAAAGGGGACAGCATGACAGGTCCCTGTGGCTGTGGGCTGGGCAGGGACTTGGAAGCCAGGCAAGAGCTTGAAGCTGCGGGGTCCTAGTGGTCCTCAGCAGAGAGCCCCGGGTGGTCAGCAGCCACCTTCATTGGCCATCAGATCATCTGTTCCCAGGCCAGAGGCCCTGGGCAGCCCACGACTCAGGTGCCTTTTCCCCCCCGCTGTGCCGTTGGCCAGGACACTAAACCGCAAGAGAGGAGCCCCCGGGCTTGGGTCTGGCCTCCCAGACCGGACAGCAGGAAACGACCTTGACTTTGTCCCACCCCAGGGCACAGGGGAAACAAAGGCCCAGAGCGGCAGCCAGCCCAAAGTGTGTCGTCACCGGGGCAACGAGGCAGCGGTGCCCACCCGCTCCCGGGCCTGGGAAAACGCCATTGTCCCTCGCAGCGGGCGGTGTTGGTTTTGTTTCCATTTAAAAAAAAACAAAACCCTGAAGCAAACCAGCATTTTCAGATGCTGCTCCAGGGCAGGACACCCTTTGCAGACGGCCGGAGAAGGCAGCCCCGGCATCGCCACCTCCCAGGGAGACCCTCGCAGGCTGGAGAGCAGCACATCTGGCCGGGGTCTGTCCCCTCCCTCCGGTCAGCACCTTTCTCGGAAAAACGCAGCCAAAAGGTCGAGTTCTCTGCTGCAGTTTCCCTTCTCCGAGAAGGTAGACATCTCAGTGTTGGTTGTCACAGACATTCAGTTCGCTCACTGTCCCATCAGACCCCAAAGCAGCCATAGTCCGGCAGGTGGGACAAGCCTCCGGACTTCCCAGTCTGGAATGGAGATGGTGATGGAGCGACCCGGCTGCCCTCATTGCAAAGGAGAGCAAGTCAGCACAGCCCTGCCGGAGGCTCTTCTCCCGGCTCTGTGCTGGGCATCTCGCTGGGCAAACGTGCAGGCCGGCTGAACTGCCCGGGTGGGCAGCTTGGCGTCACCCCCGGGCTCCCACACTGTTACCCGAACTGCTCTGCCCTCCTCCCAACCCACGTGCCCTTGAACCAGCTGCTTCCTAGGTTTCCCTAAAGACCAGGTCAAAAGGACCGCGTGTGCAATAAAAAGATGGAACATGAGTTTTAAAAAGGGCCGAGGCACCCAAGCCCCGCCCCGTAGGGTGGCTGTGGTCTGTTTTTAGAACAAGAAAAGAGTGGGTGTTGGCGGATGTGGAGAAACGGGAACCCTGGGGCACTGTTGGTGGGAATGGACGACGGTGCGGCCACCGTGGAAAACAGAATGGAGTTCCCCCCAATGAAACATGGAATTATTGTAGGACCCAGTGACTCTACTTCCGGTAGAACTGAAAGCAGAAACTCAAACAAATATCGATTAACCCACCTTCATAGCTGCATTTGTTAAAAGATGAAAATAACCCAAGTTTGTTCATGGGTAGATGAATCCATAGAATGGAATAGTATTCAGCTTAAAAAAAAAAAAAATTCGGCCTGGCTGGTGTGGCTCAGTGGATTGAACATTGTCCCATGGACTGGGAGGTCCCGTTCGATGCCCGGTCAGGGCACATGCCCAGGTTTGGGGCTTGATCCCCAGTAGGGGGCGTGCAGGAGGCAGCCGATGGATGTTTCTCTCTTACATCGATGTTTCTATCTCTCTCTCTCTTCCTCTCTCTTTAAGAAATCAATTTTTTTTTAAGTTTTTTTAAAACTTAAAACTCTAACCGCAGGCCGGTTTGGCTCAGAGGTTAGAGCGTCGGCCCACAGACCAGAGAGTCCCAGGTTCAGTTCCCGCTAAGGGCACATAACCTCGGTTGCAGTTTGTCCCCAGCCTCAGTTGGGGTCGTGTGGGAGGCAACCAGTCAATGTGTCTCTTTCACATCACTGTTTCTCTCTCCCTCTTCCTCCCTCTCTCCCTCCCGCTCT